AACGACAACGACAACAACAACGACAATGTCGTCGACGCGCTTCAAAGAACTTCATTGTGTTTTGCATATGTTGGCGGCGTGTGTGTTCGCTTCGCCTTCATGGCAGAACTTTGGCCAAAAGGACCTTCAAAAGGTCCGCCGATGGTGTAGATTATGGGACAACGATGCCATTGTTGCAAGGGTACGATAGCTATAGTATGTGCCGCATGCTGTGACCGGATCACAACAGCGGGACACGGACGATCAATAATGCCCGGATCAGCCCTGCTCGCCAGATCACCGCATCACTTTTGATGGTTCGAATTTAGATGGAAACCAGCCGAGATCCGAGATCCCAAATGTCAAAACACCCGCCACACACGACGAGCCTTCATAACTCCGATTGAATCCTCAAGAATCTCACAGCTGGTGGTGATGATGACGAATCGGAAATGGAAATGGATGCGCCGATGCGTCGGCCATAATCAATAAGTCGAGTGATTTAGAACCACTTACAGTGCAACACAGTGGGCAAGTTGTGGCAATATCATAAATGTGGAATGTAGAATTTGGTATCGATATTATAGGGGCAATATTTATTAAGATCCCATTTTGTAATATTTTTGTGGACTATGCCCAACTTAATATACACTTAAACACAAAAAATAACATTCTTTTCTTAATTTAAAAAAATTGCACACATTATATATATGAATATATATATATGTATATATATGAAAAGTTATCAATATTTTAAGACAAGTACACAAAACTAACAGAGAATGACAGGTGTTAGCCTGTGAATTTATGAAATAAAATTACATAAACACAAATCAGAATTTATTTTAAAATGAATGTCGTAGACGAATAATAGTAAAGATTTAAGATATTATAAGGAATTTATTATTAAAAGCCCTTAAGTAAATAAAAGGACGTATATAAATTCTAAAATACCTAAACGCCACACAAAAATTAACAAATCAACAAATAGTTTTGAGTTTGCGAACAACTCTGAAATATGTCCAAATCCATTTTCGTGCATCCCACTGTGCACGGGTCATGGCCCTTGGCCCATGGCCCATGCCATTGTCTCCCACTGTGCACTCATCAAATTGTGCCAAGATTTACGAGGCCCTTGATTGAGTTTTCTTGTGCTTTGAATACGAAGACGGCCAACTTCACACAGGACCACCGCACCGCACAGCGGACTGTGAGAGATGGGAGATTTGGGAAAACGGTTTCCTGGTAGTTGGCCATTGTGATGTTGTGATGTTCTGCTGCCCTTGCAGCCACTGCCACTGCCGCTGCGGGAACTGCTTCTGATCACGATGCCCCTGATCCTCTTCGGACCTGGCCAGAATTTTAGCCGCGCTCTGTTGTTTATAAGATGACAAATTGCGCTGATATCGCAACATGTTGATTGAGCGCACACGCGGCAACATTGTTAAGAGCTGGCGGTTGGGGAGATGGGTATGGGTCTGGGTCTGGGTCTGGGTCGATGGAATGGGAGTTGGCCAGATCGTTTTCCAGTCCGAGGGCCCCGGGGCCCAGCGACCATCTTCCCGTTCTGTGCGCGTGCTCACTCGTTAAGCCCCATTTCTGGCCAAAGTCGGGGCTTAAGTTGTATCTCAAGTCCCTGGCTGCAGCATGAAAACCCAGAGAAATAAAGAAATAAATAAACCAGACAACGGCATAAAACAGAATTCAACAGCAACAGCAAAAGCACACAGAAAAATGCTTGCAGCTTATTATATAACATTTTGTAATTATTGCATAATTTTCAAGTCGTTTATATTAGATTTAAAAAATTCGGTTTAAAACAAAAAATGGAACAAAATTTCGTATACGTTTAAAAACAATGAAGCTATTTCGATTTTTGATATAATTTTTGTATAATTTCTAAAACAACTATATTTATGTTGTTATTCAACATAAAATCTTGGACAAAATATTCGTCAACTCATTTGCAATTTATTGAAGAGAAAAGATCATAATAAGTTTAAGGGCAATATAATTTTGTTCTTTTTATCTGAAACATTGTTTTTTAAATATAATTATTTTTAATTGAAATATAATTACATGTTCATAGTATGAAAATCAAATGCTTTTATGCTGTTAGCCAATAATTCAAATTTATTATTTTACCGTAAATTTTAACCTCCAATCTCGGAAAAAAATATAAAATTTGTTTTTCTGTGCATCGAGAGAGAAGAGCGATCTGGATAGGTGGAGAGAAAAAACAGAAATACAAAGAAGACTCGAGATGCCGACAAAGTAATAAACCAATTAGGACATCAAAGTGTTCAACCGACAGCGGCAGAGGCAGCGACGTCAACGTCGACCGCAGCAGCGGCAGCGACGCCGGCAGAGACAATGATCACAGAGATTTGCGCTGATCCGACTTTGATTCTAAGCTACTAAACGCAACCCACATATGTCGCTGGTTCGCCACGCCCCTCGGAGCCCACTTCTTTCCTAAATTCAGAACCATCCTCTATTTCCACTTTCATATACCGAAAAAAAAAAATTCGTAGATTCAAAGGCAAACCACTTTGATCTTGTCAAAAGGATCAAATTCACGAGCGACAATAGAAGTTACTGATGATCCCTATGATCTATACCGTTTTAATTATATTTTTTTTTGGGTTTTTGTGTGCTTCAAGCTTTTAAGTCCTTGATATAAATTTTTCATATAAAGAAAAGAAAAGTAATCTTATGTTTTTATTATATAAAAAACACACACTGCAGAAAAGGACCCTAGGTTATACTTAAATTCATATAGCTTATTCTTAAAGATTCCTATAAATTCTAAGAAAATTATAATAATATAAAGGGTTACGAATTAGTATAACATATTGATTTTAAAGGATTTTATTGTATAATTGTTCGAAACGATATTCAGCCAACATTTATTAGAAAGTCCATTTTGATTTTAAATATTTTTTTTGTTTTTTCGAGTATGAATTTATTTTACAACTTGGTAAACTTTGAAAAATAAATACGACGGCAAAAGCTGTAAATAAATCAAATAAAAAATCAGGGATATATAGTTGTGGAAAAAGTATTCCCAAAATCAATTTGAATTTCATTGCTGACATAATTTCACTCTCTCTCTTCATCTTGACTAACTCTATAGTTTATCACATCTCGGCCAAATTTGTGGAATTTCGCGATTCACAAAGACGATCGACTGGCGTCGTCATGCCGGCGCCTCTTCATCGCATCTGCCACCCGCACATTATCGGCATTATGCAGATATCTCAATTCGTTATCATTTAAATCATCGGCACATGCGCGCCTACGCCAAACAGGAGCTGATCTCCGACGGAGCTGGCCAAAAGCGGCATTCATTAAGAATTTAAATCGCACATAATTAAGGCTCAATAAATAGCTATATCCGAGCGAGCCGGCTTCAATATGGGGCATATATTATTAGCTGAGACCGATAAAAGGCGGAGACAACAAAAACAAAAAAAAAAAAAAAAAAAAAAAAGAAGACGGCGAAGATAACAAACGATAAGCGCAACAACAAACGGCATAATTAAATCATAAGACGTTGAGCACATCATTAAAATCGTTAAAATCGCTACTCGACTTGAAAACTGGCTGCGGCATTTTTTTTTTGTGTTAAACCATATAAATAAACATTTCTAAAATATATATTTATTTATGAGCACATTTTTGTTTATTAATTCAAATGGGGGTCTGTGTGTCGCCGTTTTGATTGGATCATCTGGGGATCAGCGGCGTCGTTGAGTTTTTGGCCAAAACTCCACCCGCGATCGTTGGAGGTTTAAGATTGGGGTTGGGGGATGGGCATTGGGGGTTGGTGGAGTGGAGTGGAGTGAGGTGGAGTGATGCCAAGGCACGTGGTAAACGAGATGCTTCAAAGGCGCCGGCCACGGCCCACCTAAACTCTCGAATACGAAAAGCTGGCTTTAGTCTGGCGGCATCGGCTTCGGCATCCAACATCCAAGATCCAAGATCCAACATCCAGCGGCGGCATCAATATATAATCAGGCCGCTCCGTCAGCCTGCGGAGGCGATGTCCATAAAACTGGTTGCAAACGCACATAAACCATTTAAGCCGAAAAGAAATCGGTGCGCTGGCAACTCTAACGAGATAAACAACTCGAAGCGGAGCGAAGCCCACTTTGAATGGTATTTTGTGTTGAATTTCTGAATTTCGGTGCGGTAGTGCTCGTAGTTTTTTGTGTAAGAAATCGATTTGGCTCTTGGATATATTTCGCCTTTTCGAATTGGAATTTCAAAGAGGCCGCATTTCATTTCACAAAGTCAAAACAGTTAATTTATATCATGTCGCGACTACTGGTCTTACTGATTTTGCATTTTCGACAGAGCTCCGGCTACCGGCTACCGTCCACCGTCTTTCGAAATTGAAATATGAAAATGAAATCAATTTGGGGCCAGAAACCTGATTAGCACCCCCCACTGCAGGCGGACATCGGGCATTGGGCATAGAAGATTAAATTCGAGATTGGTGGCGAACGGAATGGATGAGTCTTGGATTTGGAAAATCAAGAGATCGCAAATTAGTCACATTATAAATGTACATACAGATATGTGTGGCCATAAATTTGCGTATCCCTCTCTGTCGTTCATTTACTGAATGGATCTGAAATCGAAAATGAAATTTCACACAGAAAAAAAAAAACTAACGATATGTATTATAATCTTAATATTTAAAGGGAGATGAGAACACTAAAAAAAAAATTCCTGGATTTAAGGAATCGTGGACTACATTGCCTAAAATAGAGTTTTAAGTCTTATTACTTGCACATTACATTTTGGTAAAAGGATGGGCGTGGATTATAGATTTCTCAAAAATTCTAAGATAAATTGATAAAATGAAACAAGTTGTGTAATATATATTCATATATACATACATATTATTATGCATTTTAAAATTAGTCGTTTTGCATTTCGATTTGAAATGGTGTAATTGACATTAGCTTCATTTAATAAGCAAGAAAAATTAGTTGGTAAACGTTTTTATACGAACCAGCACCTCGATTCAACATGAAGGTATATTTGGCCATAATGGGGCCCAATAAGCGAGTGGCTAAAAGCTGGAAAAAAACAGGAAAGACAACCAAGACGAAGTTAATAATACAATTGATTAATTCAAGGTAATTTAATTTACGGATTCTATTTTTTGAAAATATTGCTGAAGTCATGTATTTGATAATCCTCTTACACTATGCGATCTAGATGAAATAAAAATAGGAAATCTGGTAATGAAAGGACATTTAAAATGTGTTTTTATTTAATTCGGATTAGAATTTAGTATTTCAAAACTACTATTAAAAGTCTTAAATAATTACAAAATTTTTCCTGTGCATCGAACTAAGCTGGATGAGTTGCGGGGGACGTAGATGGTTGGCCTTGACGCTATGGTGTGACTGCGTAACTGAGTAGCCGCCACAGGACAGCCGCACCGTTGGCTGACACCGTCACCAACACCGTCACCATCACCATCACCATTACCATCACCATCCCATCGGCATCAGCATCAGCATCAGCAGGTGCACCAAGTCAGCCAGGCTCAAAAGGTGCCGCTGAGCCTGAGCTAATTTCAAATTACACACTTCATTCGCCCGGGGAACTGGGACAGCGACTGCAACTGCGACTGCGATTGGGTTGGGTTGGGATTGAAAACGGTATTGGTATCGGGACATGGGGTTCAGTAAGCCGCTTTTGAAGCCAACCACAATTGACAAGCGTGCCCCGCACTGCACCGCACTATGCCGCTCTGATCCTTGAGATCAAAGTCGCCGGCCGCCCGCACGCTCGTTCCTCACTCCTCGCTGGCCAATCTCGAAAAAAAAGCAAAAAACCCAATCCTCCAGTGGAAAAGGTCCGATGTAGTCACTTGCCTAACGGTCGATCGATGGGCTCGTAATGTGCGTGCAAGATGGATTTTCGGGCACCGTGGGTGTGGCTTATTTTAAAGCAATTAGGCCCATAGTGAAGCGTGTCTTCGTCTCTGATGTACGAGGACACTTTTGACTATTGTCCGCGCCCCTTTCATCTCGACCGCTAACAGATCATTTGAGCTGGCCATTTCGAGCCATTAAATTGATTAGTTGCAGCACCGGGGGACGCTTGGAAATTACTCAAATCTTGTGATTGATACTTTACGGTGGCAATTATGCATGCTGCTAAGCAGCAAGGATTTTACAAATCGATAGCTGTTAATGTGGACAGATTTGAAGAATATAGGCTATATCTTAAGAGCTTTAAAATCTCTTAACTTGTTATCTCTTAAAAAATTTAAAAATATTTTTTAGCATGGGTATAAATTTCAGAATTACGGTTTAAATTTTTGTAAAAATCGGGCGATTGTATCATAAAGCTTCCACTGAAACAATCATAACAAATGAAATAAAAGATAAAAAACTAACATTTTTTTCAGTTTTTTTTTTAATGTTCTTTGGGATCTTGTAATGTTTTGTTCTCAATTTAATGGCAATTCACAGTTTTTAAAATGCTTTATTAATTTCTCAGCTTAAGTACAGAATGTTTTCAACACAATTTAATTTATTATAGCACGTTAAATGTCTGAAAGTCAAATAAAAGGTTTTCCAACGGGAAAGCTTGTTGGATTCATTTTTTCACGGCACATAATTTAAACAAAATATATTATTTTGTCGGATTTTGAATTTTCTTGCTTAAAGCAGGCCATTATTATATCTCACACGAAGTCGCAGGAATTTTTGTTTAGAAAAGTGGCTGGCAGTTTATCATTGCTGCAGTACAATATCCTGGAAACTGAACCCACTTTAAAAAGAAATCTGCCATGCTCTGTGTGGATATAAATTTATGATTATCTTTTGGATATCTATTTTGTCTAACTTATTAATTGTTGGAAAGACAAACTTACCCGAAAGCTGTTACTACATTGAGAAAACATGTATGTCCACACGTAGAAAAAAGAACCAATTAGGGCCACACAAAACGAAAACCAAAGCATAATTACAAGCCAAAAGACAAACCACAGTGGGTTACCCATAATCATCCATTAAACAATTATGATAGAATATATGTGTAAATGCAAAACTGTTTAAAAAAAAAACAAATATTAAAATATAAGGTGACAAAATAATCAAAGAAAACTGCTGCTGGAATAGGCTTTAGATAATTTTAAAGAGCTTGTTATATAAAGTAGGTAGCGGCGGTTAATTCAAAACCAATCCTATCTACTTCAACACGGAAATACACGAAAAAAGTCGAAGCTTTGATGCATAATGGCGACTGTGCATATACTACGGGCATCGGAGCTCATACAGAATGGGCCGGTGAAGCAGGTTCACGGCATCGAGGATGTGAACCGCTGGGTGCGGTCACAAGCCTACTACGACATCGTGGCCTACATCAGCAACACCAGCAGGGCCATTCAGGGCCACCGGATGACCAGCGACTTTCCCGTGACCGAGCAGATGCGTCAACTGTGCGAGATCTTCGACGGGCTGGAGCACCTCCTGGTCGAGCACACGCCCAGGATCGAGGACACGAGCACAGCGTTGCCGGCGGCTAAGATTAAGAGTAACTGCTATGGCTTTTGGTTGCGCGACATGTACCAGCATGTATTCAGGAAACTGGGCGAGATCATTCCGGCCATTCATTGTAGACACATCAACGAGTTGGGCCAGTACTTGAGGCGTTCATTTGGGAATGCGAAAAGCATGGATTTTGGTCCCGCCAACGAGCTGATGTTCCTGTTCTTCCTCTGCGGCCTTTTCCGGGCTGGCATCCTGCTGGCCAAGGACACTTTGGCCGCCGCCCTGATGCTCTTCAACCGCTATGCCCATCTGGTCCGCCGAATGGTCGCAATCTATGGCCTGCAGACAGCCAAGGATCCGGTATGCACCATCGATGACTTCATCTTTATACCCTATCTGTGGGGAGCTGCGCAGCTTTCGCTGGAGGCACCCTTCTCGCCGCTGCAGTGCGAGCAGGCCAAGGTGCTGGAGAGCCAGAAGCAGGACTACATGATAGTGGAAGTGGTTGATTACCTTTTGAGGAATGGGGGCGGCGGTCAGCTGAGCCAAGTGGCCTTCCAGCTGTGGAGCATCCTTTCGATACCCACCTGGGCACAGGTGTACATGGGATTCGAGCGCAACGTCATCGATAACTTGCTCTGCTCCTTGCACACCATGGAACATGCCATCTTCGGCGAACTGATGTCCTTTGATCCCGCAGTGCCGCCCATCCAGTTGGAGCGCGTCCGCTTGGGCTCTCTGTATATAGATCATAATGGGGACAACAGCGGTGGGCTGCAGGAAAGACAGCAACCGGCAAACATCTTGGAGTACAGTGATGAGACCGGGCCCGTCAGCAGATACTTCAGCCCGTACACGGAGTCCTTTCTCGGGTTCCAGGAGCCCAGAGCTGAGGATCAGTCGGACGACGACAGCAAGGATAATCGCCTCTGGATGCTGCGTCAGATGGTGGAGAATAACAATCCAAGCACTTACCAGTTTCATCCAAGCTCACAAGTGCCAAATGAGTCTTCTACATCGAATAAAGGTCTCTAAAATGTAGGTCCAATAATATCAAACTTGTCTTGTAAGGATATAAAAACGGAATGGCATTTCAAAATGATATATCATTATAATCATTATTAAAATTAAAAAAAAGTATTGCCAGCATGCAGGCGCATTATGGTTTGGCTTACACATATATACCCATTTTTGGATTATTATAGATATTTTCAATATAAACCTACTACTTTCGGCAATCAAAATAATAATTTACATTGTTAAAATCTGTTATCTTTTTTGAAAATTTAAATAAAAGCTTTCCTATCGATAGCTCACATACGATAGTATGTTAATATTCCGTATTTTTTCATTATCTTAAAAATGAAGTTTTTTGATAAGTGTTTGGATATGGAACCGCTGGTTGAGTGATTAAATAAGCATTTATAAACAAACTGTGAAAAGATGAGAAACATGCATTGCTATCCCTAAGGATTAAACACTCATCTATTAAAAGTTCTCAATAAGATAAAAAAAAATGATTTCTTTTCACCAAAATATATCTTATTATGTTTTTTATGAAAAATCATGCGCATAAACGAATTCATTGTTTACAAAAAGATGGCATATCGATATATCGATAGCTAGAGCGGGGCCATCTCTAAATGATGCTATATGTCGCCATCTTTTATTAGAATTGGGCAGCTGTTTCCACTTTAATCGTAAATTTAGGAACAATAACGACATTCGCCGGCCCTTTTAACTTCTTGTTTGTTAGTAATTAAGTGCCGGTAAGTATTTAATGAATGGAGATCTTCGTGTGGTCTCTGCAAGAAAATCGATAGGCGCCCTCTTCAGGCCCTGAAATTCTGGAACCCCGATCCGCTGTGCGTCGCCACTTGTACAAAATCCTTGTTTTTGTACAGGAATGCCGAGGAGAGCGAAAAAGGACGAGGATTCCGAGGATCTGCAGTCGTTCCTCAGCAATTTCCATAAGGAAATCGATGGCAGCAACGATGACAAGGTGGTGCACACCATCCTGAGGGCCATAAGCGCCGAGAATGGCGAAGTGGACGACGAGGAGGAGGCGGGCCAAGATGCGGAGGCAGACAAGTCAAATCAGGAGGAGCAGCAGGCGGAGAGGGAGGAGGAGGAAGATGACGACGACGACGAGGACAAGTACTTCATAGATGACGAGGGCAACTGCTACATCAAGACGACGCCCAAGAAGCAAAAGGAGCTGCAGCAGAAGCTCAAGCAGGCGGCTGCCAAGCCCGGAAGACCCAAAGCCACCAATAAATGTAGGTATCCATTTCTTAGCTATAAGAAAACATTGAACTCCTCACTGACCTGGGTCTTTTTCCTTAGCCATCAACCTGCGGCCGGCCAAGTCGCCGCCAAAAGGTGCCCCATTCAAGTCACCACCAGAACCCAAACCCATCAGTGTTCGTCCAGCGCGAGGGGCTGCAGCCAAGGCCAAGCAGATTGAAATGCCATCGCCAACGGTTCCAGCTCCAGCAACAGCCACAGCCACAAAAGTACCCGCCACTAGGGGCAGGCCCAGGAAGAACCCGATTCTACCCAAACCCGAGCCCATTGATCTGGAGCGGGAGATCGAGGAGTTGGTGGATGACCCGGACATCAGTTCAGTGGTCAGCGATCTGGCGGACTACACAGTGGACAGTGCTGCCGTTGAAGCAGCTACCTCTGTGCTGGAACCAAACGAGAACGAGGTGTACGACTTCGAGGCAGATGACAAGAAGGACCTGGACTTTGTGCTCAGTAGCAAGGAGGTGAAGCTGAAGCCAGCCGTGCAGAATGCCTCCGGAGGACAAAAGTACTCATGCCCCCACTGTCCGTATGCGGCCAACAAGAAGTTTCTGATCACGCGCCACTGCCGGAACCACGATGTGGTGCCCGCCTTCAAGTGCTCCATCTGCGAGCGGTCCTTCCGCACGAATGTGGGACTGCAGAACCACTTGAACACGCACATGGGCAAGAAGCCGCACAAGTGCAAGTCCTGCGAGAGTGCCTTCACCACCAGTGGCGAACTGATCCGGCACACGCGCTACAAGCACACCAAGGAGAAGCCGCACAAGTGCACGGAGTGCAGCTACGCCAGCGTGGAGCTAACCAAGCTGCGTCGCCACATGACCTGCCACACGGGCGAGCGACCATTCCAGTGTCCGCACTGCACCTACGCCTCGCAGGACATGTTCAAGCTGAAGCGACACCTGGTCATCCATACGGGCGAAAAGAAGTACCAGTGCGACATCTGCAAGTCGCGATTCACGCAGTCCAACTCGCTGAAGGCCCACAAGCTCATCCACAGCGTGGTGGACAAGCCCGTCTTCCAGTGCACCCTCTGCCCGACGACCTGCGGCCGGAAGGCTGACCTGCGCATCCACATCAAGCACATGCACACCTCGGACCGGCCGATTATGTGCCGGCGCTGCGACCAGATGCTGCCCGATCGCTACCAGTACAAGCTGCACGTGAAGTCGCACGAGGGCGAGAAGTGCTACCGCTGTACGCTCTGCAGCTACGCCTCGGTGACCCGGCGCCACCTGGACTCGCACATGCTCATCCACCTGGACGAGAAGCCGTTCCAGTGCGAGCAGTGTCCGCAGTCCTTCCGCCAGCGCCAGCTGTTGCGACGCCACATGAATCTCATACACAACGAGGAGTACCAGCCGCCGGAGCCGCGCGCCAAGATGCACAAGTGTCCCAGCTGCTCGCGGGAGTTCACCCACAAGGGCAACCTGATGCGGCACATGGAGGTGCACGACAACACGGTGAATGCTCGCGAGAAGCAGCGACGCCTCAAAATGGGCAGGAATCTGCGAATCCAGAAGGATGGCACTGTGGTGGCGTTGGTCAAGGAGCAAGACTTCATAAACTTGGACGGAGACGAAAACGAAGAGGAGGACAACCCAGAGAGCTATGTCCTGGCCGATATCGAGCCGGAGAACTCAGGGGATGAGGATCACAACGAAGAGGAGCGGGTCATACCCGATACTATTCTGACCAGACAGAAAACCAAGCCCGCACCTGTTATTATCAACAAGCAGGCGCGTCAGAATTCCCAGCCCACGATCATCAATCGACGTCTTCGGAGCAAGGGTGGCACCAAGACGTTCCACATCAAGGAGGAACCGGACAACTCGGACTTTACCGTGGAACTCCAGGGTGATGACGGCGAGGTTATGGTCGTCGAGCTGGTTAACGGAGAGGATGAGGTGGTGGTCAAGCACGAGCCGAGCGCGGCCTCCAAGATTAATGCCAACAACTGCTTTGGCTTCGAGGTAGGTCTAAAAAGAATTCTCGACTTCTGTTCCATTCGCTACAGCTTTTTCCCATTTAGGAGGACGATGAATATGACGAATTTGAGGCCCCGGAGAACGGAGTTGAAGGCACTTCACAGGAGTTTCTGCAACTGATGGATATGATTGAGCAGGATACTTAGTCCCCTGAAAAAAAAACAAAAAATAAAGAAAAGTTATTAAGACTAACTTATGTACATACCAAGGATACCATAACGTAATTCTACGTTACATTGTTTTCTATTTAAATACAAATTTAAAGTTTAAACATTATTTCAATGAATTTTCATCAAGGAATTATTTTCAATGCTTTCTTTTCGTGGATAAAATAAGAATATATTTCCAATGACTTTATGCCAATCGATTGAACACGGCAATTATAAATACATTAATTTGACCCACGTCTAATTAGTTATAAATGATCCTCAACACTTAATTTTTAATTGACAACTTGGCATAAATATTTATTTAAATACATACATATTTCAATGTTTTCATTAGTGGTATATGGGCAAAATGTTGGGTGCGCTTGCGTTTGTTAGCTGCATCTGGGCGTGCACTGTAAATTCTCGGCTATTAGTTGTCGTTCCTACCATAAAATGTTTGCATAGTTTACAATTTGTTTTCATTTTCTCTTCAGCAATCTGGTTTGTTACTCCGCTTGTTCTTTTTTCTGGTTTCTCTTGCCGTTTTTTTTTCAAGTGTATAACTACAATAAAAATATATATATTTATATATAATATATGTATATATTTTGTAGGTGGTGCAATGTGCAAAAATCTGCTGTGCAGTGCATCATTATCATTATTTCAATATATAGTGGTTTTCTTTTGTGTTGATTTTGTAGTTGTTGCATAAAACGTTAACAATTTGTCGTTAATAGTACGTATGTATACGAATTGCCTTTTGTATAACAATTAAAAAATGGAACAACGTCGATAAAGGAAGTGCACATTGAGTTCCGAGTGAGTTAGATTGAAAAATGACACTTAGAAATCGAAAATTGCTTGCAGAATCGAGTTACGAATACGAAACACACTTAGAAATATAAGAGCTAAAAAATTGCATATCCTATAATTAAGTTAATGCTCTGCGAGATTTGCTTGACCCCATTCGCTGGGCAAAAGGAAGAGAACTAACTACGTAACTTTAAAACGAAACTAAATTAAAAGTTAACATAAACAAATTCATGGAAAGCTGTGCTATGGCTCTTTGCTAGCTCACTGATAAGCTTGGCTTATATCAATTTACTTTTGGCTTAACAATTTTCTGTCTGTAAGGCTGCTGTTGGTTTTGTTTTCCATCCCCATCCTTTCCATTCCTTTCCTTTCCATTCCATTCCTTTCATTTCCATTTCATCCATCCATTTCCGTTCTCATCGCTCCAGTTTTGGTTGAAAGTAAAGGGTTCTCAGTGGGTTTTCCGGGTGGCAAAGGGGAACATAAATCTCAGAATATCTTCAGCTTCTGCAGGAAACGCAACAGGGGCGCACTGAGGCAGGCGGACGTCGGCCGGCTCCTAGCCTGCTGCTGTCTCGGATTGGCGGCAAAAGAGGCTCTGCCGTTCGCAATTCACGACTGCTCCCTCTTTTGCCTCTTTGGCTGCTAATTGCAATTGAGCGTGTTCTGATTGGGGCTGCTGCGCGAGACGTTGTTGTGATTGATCTGGTTCGACTGCGTGATGCTGGCGCTGTCGCTCGTCTTCCACGACAGCAGCTTGTTGAGGAGTCGGTCCATGTACGGATTGCTGCCCAGCCGAGTCACCTGTGTGGGATGAAAGCTATTAGCTCGGGACAAACAACATAGTTTACGATCTGTGTGGCATATTTAAAAGTTAAAATTATAATCACAATTCATCTCAATAACAAAGGGTTTTAAATCGTTATGCTTTCAGCATATCGTTTTCCTTAATAAAATACTTTTTTTTAGTCAAAGCTAAGACCAATTACTATATTTGATTTCAATGAAACGGCTTATTAAAAACTGGATCAGATCTAATTTTCAAAGTTTAAGATTTTACTTGTACATGTGTTGCGTATTATTCTTCACCAAATCCACTTTTTTGTACCTACATTAATGGACTAAGAAAATAAGAACCTAAAATGAGTTCCAAGGAACTACTACTACCCATCACTTGTCCTTAAGTACTAACCTCCGCCCGCGCCTCCGCATCGAGCGTCTCCAGAACCTTGCGTGTATACTGAAAACTGCCCAGCTTTTCCAGCAAGGTGATGCAGTACTTCTTGACCTCAATGTCGTGCGTGCGCTGGCGTAATATGTCTGTGGATATAAGCATAAGCCCCAACTTGATGAGTGGAGAGCCTTTGGGTGAGGTCAAGACTTGGTTGGACTTACGTAAAACCTGTTTATCCTGCTTCTGGGTGCGAACCGCATGGATTACCGGGAAGCCGAACTTGCCCTCCGTCAAATCCTCGGCGAAGCTCTTGTTTTCCGTGTACTGCAGAGAAATGTCATCATTGATTAACTGATTAATGCTAGGCACATTCATTCCCACTCTACCCACCTCCTTCAGACTGAGATTGCAGTAATCGTCGCGTATCTGGAAGTACAGGCCCAAAATAGCCGTCAACTTGGAGTAGTCCTCCTTGTTGGAGCTGAACAACTGCATCAGACGGATGGCCAGCATGAAGAGGCCGCCAGTCTTGCGCACAGTCATCAGCTTGTAATCGGACTCCGAGGGACACGTGAAGCTGTCGCGCCAATAGATCTCCATGCCCTGACCCCGATGCAGCTCCAGCAGCTGCTCCGTGTACACCTTGGTGGCCTGCAAGCAATGCGTATTAGTTGGCACTCGCATTCACCAGAAACTCTGGTTTCGTTCATACCTCCGGGTGTCCCAGCTGCTGCACCTTCTCTAGTGCCAGAAATAGAGCGTAGTTGGCCGCATTTATGGTGCTGGCCACCCCGTAAATGGAATGCGCCACGGGCACACCTCTGCGAAGGATCGAATTGTCTTCAATATCATCAATGCTGTAAGTTAGTATTGAGAACACATATGTAATAGCTGTGAGTTAATTGATCGTGTCCTGGACAGTTTAGTCTACTTTTCTAGATTTTAGTATAACATTTTCGTGGTTTTCTTAACAAATTTTTTAAACAGGCAAATTTTAGAATTATATAGTAGAATAAATAAACTCATGCTTTTTATTTAAAAGTTCCTTTTTTGACAAACAGCTACCTCTAAACTTTTCAACCCCCAACAACCATCAAAAAAATGATGATTTCTGCAAAATTTGAGAAACTCGTACATTTGTAGATACATATATGTACATACACATTTATAAAATTAAAATCTGGAAATTTGACTCAAAAAATATGACGAACAACTATGTAATCGTGAAATTATAGTCAAGTGAAATATTTTTATTAGGCTTAAGTTACTGCTTATATAGCCAGCATTCCGTTTCATTTGAAAATACGATAATTTCCTAATCAAATCAGCAGATGTTTTTGTGAAACCATAAATTGCAAATTGCACGACATGAACACGTACGGAGCAGCAAAATATGGGTTTTTTAAATAGAATTTCATAATTCGAGCGTAAACAAAGTAAGGAAAAGTCGTCACGTGTCGCCCGAATAGGTGTTTCCCCCCTCTTGTCAGGCTAAACATACATATTTATGAACATACGGTGGCCCCATAATAGATGTGTAAATTTAAGCCTCGCTTTAAGGCCGCCATCGCTCCAATAACTACGGTGCCCGGCGGGCAAAACGAGCTGGGCAGCCCAACATTTGCGTAATTAAAAAATGTTTGCGCTCCGCCAAAGCTGGCAAAGCCATTGGCAGGGAATATGGATGGTATGGGATGGTATGGTATGGGACAAGATTGGGATTGGGTACGGTTTGGTATGGAAGGCATGAAGGCGTGGGCGTTGAAGCGACAACGCACAAAGGGGCTGGGATATGGAAAGGATGCGGGGTGCAAGGAGGCTGGACGGTGTTGGGGAAAACGAGGGAAATGAGGGAAAATAGTGGGCGTGCTGCGTGGCAAGAGTTGTGACAATGCCTGTCGACTGGCGACGGGCTGACTAACTGACAATGGGCATAAGTGCATGAATGACGGACGGACGAGGGTCGGGGATCTTGGGCAGGACTGACTGCTGTAACTGCTGGCATCGTTGTAAAACTAAGTTTTTGCCAATATGAAAATGCATTACTACAAAAAAAAAAAAAAATAGTAGAAACGCCAAGAACATACAGGCCCGGCCACTTGGGGGAATGAGAATGCTGCCAAGGAACAATGCTGGGGATTTTAAGCAGAATTAAGGCCATTTCTGAGTGCTTGCCTTTGAATAGGAGGCGACAGGTGGCCGGAGGCAAGACAAGATTAGCCCGAAAGCGACATGAATACTTCCTTAGCTGCTTCCCATAGATATAAGAAAATCCCTGGCCACTTCGACTCAGTTTACTGACTTTAATTGAAAAGCGGCAGACACTTCAATTGGTTGAGATCAAAGTTTAATTGTGGCGTTTTGTTGGCAGCCCAGCTCTTTCATTGCTTTTCTCACATTTTACCCCCTGGGCTTCTGAAGAAAAATCTAAATAATTTATGCAATTTCGGATACGGCAATGGAATGCAAAGAAATTCAATTGTAAACAGATAAAGCTGCGGGCTCATGAAATGAAAATTGGAATTGATTTGAGGCCAACACACACTCTGCCCGAATAACCCACAAATGGCCGAGAACGTTACTCAATATGGCCAATTCAAATTGGGGAAGAGAGGTGTGAGTCACCATTCCGAATGATAATGCAAAGTATAATATATGTGTGCGTTATGGAAATGAACTGCCGATGATGATAAGAACTTCTCGAGCGAGCATATGGCGCGCATTGCTATATTTTTCGAGTCAAACTCGAGGGGAGTCTCTTCTGTTCCCGTCATCACTTCCACAAGAAGTTCACACTCGATTAGGCATTTAACTGGAATCCATCTAGGCAAAAGCAAATAAACCAAATGTATACAAATACAGGCTGTGCAAGTGTGAAAAGAGATTAAACATGCAGAGAAAAAGGGTAAGAGGAGGGTTGGGGTTTTTTGGTGGAACAAACAAAAGGTAAACAAAGCCAAACAATGCAGAGCAGAAAAACACAGGAAGGCAAAGGTCAAAACTTAAAATAAAATAAAATCGCGCTACACATGATTAGTTTACGTACAATATCGACAGGTATTTACATACGGTTACGGTCAAAAAATTAGCACAGCGAATTAATATTAATTTCTTAAGGACGTGCACATGTAGTCTTTTTGTAATATAACACTATTGTTTTGTTTTAATAGCTTATAAAATTATTTCCAAAGTCAGCAATAAAAAAACAATCGTAATAGTAGCCATACGGTTTATTCAAACTCTAAGAACTTATTTTACTTATATATTGAAATAATAGTACATTATTTTTTTAACATTTTCCCGAAAACGTTAGTGGTGCTGGCAGTACTGAATATTAAGTACATTCAAAAAATAGTCATAAAAATGGACATTGTAAATTTTCTCTGTACAAATTCCTACAATATATACTATAGAAATCAACCATGACCGAAATTATAGGACTGTAAAATCATGCTCTGATATATTGGCATGCAAGTTAATGGCTGCTAATCTGACCGCAGCTGTATACTGTATTTAAATGATATACTCACAGCAAACTGGAATTGTGCAGCATCTGCACAATGTCCCCGATCTGCGCCAACTTTTCGGCCGGTATGAGCAACCAGTGATTGAAGGCCAAGGCCAACTCAGAGCGAAATTGCTTGCCAGGAATCTGTTGTATGTATGTGAAGGGCTGCAGCAGAATCTGGACAGCGTTTAACCATCGGGCGCCGTTTGGGAGTGGGAGTTTTTGTGCGTGGGCCACATGTAAATAAACCCCAAAATAAGTGGGTTGAAGAAGGAGAAGGCGACGGAGAGCTGGTTAGTTGGTGTTTTATTCGGGGGGTGCGGAGGTGGGGGGGTGGTGTGGCTGGTGCCACTTTAAAATGTCAAAGTTCAGGGGTCCGGATGGATTAGGCCGTGGGATAAGTACCTCATCCTGCTCCTTTTGCGTTGATTTATCTTTGGTCTTCTGCAATATGCTGTTCAGTTCTTCCATTGTTGTTTCTGTTGTTGTTGTTGTTGCTCCGCCGTGGCCTTGCTTGTGTGCTTTTGTTGTTTTGATTGCGGGGGGCGGTCGAAGACGGGGGTGGGCGTGCTTTTTGTTTACCGCTTGGCTCCGCGACACGCGTGACTAGAATTGTTTGTGGCCGCTCGTCGACGGTTAAACTCGAATATTCCCGTAATCCGCACAGATCGAAGCAAATACTCCACGGAAAGACCAAAAACAGACTGTTATTGAAGTTCTTCCGCGGCCTGCACATTAGAGGTGGCAACAAATCGATAGGCCATCGATACAGTCGAGAGTGCTTTTCGAGCAGTCATCGATTTCACCAGGGATGCGCATTCAATACTATTAAAAAGCATTACAAATTTTTTATAAGAAAATATAAACAAAAAAAATGACTATAATATAATTAGAACTAAGAAAACTAAATGTAATTTAGAAGAGTTTGACTACAAATTAAAAACGTTTAATTAATTTTTATTTATTTTCACAATTGAATAACAAATTCATTTATTTTATTAGTATACGCAGTGTAGTAAAAAAATTTATTTTAAGTATTTATAAAATAAATAAATAAATAAATTTGTATAACAAATACAACTTTTCGTATTTCTTTACTTAAATAAATAATAAAAATACTATTTAAATGTTATTTCATTTATTCGAGGCCAGGGTGTTTACTCAACAAAATTCTAAATTAATTTGTTGAGTGCTTTCATTTTTAAATTAAAAGAATAATAATTATAACTATAAAAAGCCAGATTTGGCTTGAAAAATTGGAATGGACTTTATGCTTATTATCGATTACTTCGTTTTGATAGCCTTGCCCATCCCTATTTCAGGCCAGGTTGCCTGCGTGGAAAATAGCTTTCTAGCTTACATTTTTGTTAATTAAATAGAAATTACTGCACAATAACAACGAAATTCCTGCGAAAATGGCTGCTGCGGTGCCTATGCGAACCAACTGGAACCCGAACATAAAGCACAACGAGATGGAGCGGTAGAAAACACACGAATTCGAGAAAAACAAAGTCCGAACTCACATGTCCCTCATTATTATTGCTATCACAGGTGGATCTGCATATATCCCGCCTACATCAACAGCAAGAGGACTCGCCAGGAAGGTCGCCGTCTGCCCAAGGAGAATTGCGTGGACAACCCCACCTACATAGAGATCCGGGACGTACTCTCAGTGAGCAACCTGCAGTTCCTCATGGAGAACATGAAGTACTGCCGCGAGAAGAGCAGCGAGCTCCAGTTCCGCGGGCGTGTGCGCGTGCAACTGCGAAACGCCGACGGAACCCTCTTCAACAAAGACTTCCCCTCGCGGGAGTCCGTAATGCTGCACATCGCCAGCAAGATCCCGCAGCTGAAGACGCGCCAGAACAAAACCGGCGACTCGTACCACCAACAGTCGCAGCCGCAGCCCAGTGCATCCGGATCCGGAGGTGGCGGCGGCGGTGGCAAGAAGGGCAAGGGCAAACGCCGCTGATGACTTCGTTAGTTTTGTTTCATTTGTAATAAACTCTGTAAACATATGTCATTTGTTCTGGGCCAAGTTCAAGTGCGGGAATTCGGCCTTGGCACGCCAAAGTGTGCCAAAAAAAATTCAGAACAGCATAGAACTCAATTGGAGAACCCAGTTGGGAAATGTCTCAAGATCACACAAAGTCAGCAGAAATTCCGGCGAACTGAAATCTAGAATCAACTGTCAGTCACGAACATCTACGATTTCACCTGGTCAGCGTTATAAAATCGGTTGTGCATCGCAAGTGTCCAAACAGTTTGACTCGGAGCACCCACAATGATGACCGGAAAGAGCAGCCTCTGTGGCTACATGCTTATAATTGCACTTGCGGCCATCCACAACACAGCAGATGCTGTTCCCTCGACTACCACAACCACTGAATCCCCATCGACAGTGGCCGCCACATCTACGAAGACTACACGCCTTGTGAACCCCCTCACGGAATCGAAGCTCGAGAAGAATTGCAAGGCACTCTGCGAGCACTGCGGCTGTTTGGGTTTCTACTGCGGCGAGGAATGTCTTTGCGAGTGTAACGACGACAGCTCGGACACCGAGTGCATCCGCACCATGCAGATGAACGCCAAGACGCTGAATCTGCCCTTTGAAATTGTCATCCAGGGGCCGAGTAGCAATCGCTTTGTGCGCAACGCCCAGCAGTTCGAGCAGGAGCGGGATCTGGTGACCAGAAGTGCCTCTGGTTCAGCAAAGGCCCCTCGAAACCGTCGCTCCAACATCACCATATACAAGCCCTCCAAGAGTCAGTCCACTGCCAATGCCCTCAAAACGATTGCCAAGACTTCGGAGCTGGATCTGGCCAGGCACAAGCGTTCCGTGGACCACCTGGAGTGGTTTAATGACTTTGCCAGCTCGCTGGTGCGTCCCTCACCCTTGGGAACGCGAGCTCAAAAGCAGCAGCGTGAGTCCAAGCCATCGGGTTTCAAGCGCCAGGCTGATTTGGAGGAGCCAGCTCGTCGGGAGCCGTGGTTCCTGGAGCACACTGCTCCGCGTCTGACTCGTCCCGCTCCCCTTAAGAAGGAACAAGTCTTCCGGAAAAGCAAAAAGAGTCCTTTGTCCCGTAAGATCACCAAAAGCAAAGCCATTAAGGAGCAGTTGCGTAGGGATTCGGAGCGGGAGATCCGGCCACTTCGGGATGCCCTGCAGGTGGTAGAGCGTATTCCCAAGGTGCTTCAGGATACAGTAAGTCATCTGACGTCCGATTCCCAAAGTGGAGATGTCTTCAGCCTGAACATTATGAACGAAGCCTTGCCGCAGCAAAAGGAACGCGAAGATGAGGAGCTTGTGCCCCGTAGACCAAGTGCCAGCCTTCGGAATTTCCGGCGTAATGAGATCGTTCCAGAAGCTGTAACCCTTGCTGCCCCCGCTCCCCTGGCTGCCCCAGCTCCCCTTCCCGTCCAGCGAGGAGGTCTCCTTCTCCCCTGGTTAAGACAGCGGCGACTGATGCGTTTGCAGCAGGCCAGGGGGAATCAATAGGGAAACTCTACCCAGCACTAAATCGTAATCCAATTCAATCAAACTTACCTTTATAATCATATATTGTTGTATATTTTTAAGACATCCCTGGGTCTCTCAAAATAAATTAAAAATTTTTTATTTCCTGCAGTAGCAGTAATTGTAAGAGCATTTAACATTTTTTGTTTAAATATCATAACATACTTTTGGGCTACACATGTTTAACGGGGGGGCCTTTCTCTTTAGCTCCATCCCACTCTCTCTCTCCCGAAGCCTCCATCCGATTTGTTGGGAACAAGCGTCGCGTTAGCGTCTTCAGTCTGCCGCAACCGTTCATCTTCAGTGGTCGACGCTGTTTCCGTTCCGCTGCAACAGGTAGTTGTGGTTGTGGCTCTCAGTCCGAGCCCAATTGGTAATAGGTGCATTACCCTATTCGCTCGAAGCCCCACAAAGGGATTAAAGAGAAAGAGAGGATCGGCGGCAGGGGGTTACTTTTTGTTCTTCTTACTGGCAAAATATATATGTAAATACATATACCCATTGGGAGCGAAAAGGCCAGAGAAAATGCGTTTTGGGTGATGTGTGCGGCTCAACATTACAAAAGTCAAGAGAGTGAGAGAAAAACAACAAACGTTTGCAGTGCCTGAAAAGTTAATAAGAAAAATAAAAAAAAAACAAAAAAAAAGAATCATATATTGAGTGTACAAAAGCAACGCAGTAAATTGTCGTGCGCGGGCCAAATAATTATTCAAGTGCCGAAATAATTAGAAATCAAAGAAGAGAGAGTGATACAATTTAGCTTTTCTCAAATGAACAAAAACAAAGCAAGCAGAGATCAACGGTCGCTATCTTATATCTATTATTCGAATAAGAGTGTGTGTATGGGTGTTTGGAGACCCAGAACGAGAGTCTGAATCTGAATCTGGCCTCTCCACAATCAACAAATGAGTGCATCAATTGGAAATGTATATTCAATCTGAAATTGATTTACGTGACTTTCCATTGAGGAACTAGGAAGTAGAGTAGTCTACCAATACCGATTGATATGGCTAATCGCTGCAATTGCACCATTATCGCAAAAACTTCAAAAACACTTGTTTTGATTGTTGTTTAGTTTAAATTTGGCTATCACTCATTGTTACTATTTTAAACACTGTGCAAGAGTAAACATCAAGTGGTTATGTGATAAATAAATCCATGTAATAAACTGACGGTTTCTGTTCGACCCTTATCATGCAATATAAACAAAAACAAAGGCGAACTCACATAGATAGTGACTTTTATTAAAGAACCCACACACACTCTCACTTGGCAACGGAATATAGCTTTATTCCGACCCCGATTGCCTTTATCTGCCGAAATTACTGTGATAAGTTCAACCAGCTGTGTCATATTTTTGGTATTTCGGGGGATAAGCACGCGACGGCACGGATAATCCAATTAATATTCAAGTTTTTAAAGAAAGCTATTTGGAAAAGATAAAGATTAGTCATACATTCAAATATTTAAAGATAAATTCACTGGTAAAATTTTAAAAAACGGTTTAGGTTCTTTCAAATGCGATTTTTTAACTAATTCCATTTTTTAATCATTAATACTCTGTTATTCTTTAACAAAATTATTTTATCGACACTGGCAAGTTTTAAAAATATTTTTAGAAATTTATTATTTATTTATTATTATTGAACCTTTTCGAAAGAAAAACATGTATGAGCGAAGGGCAACTTATGTCTAAAAAACTAACAGATTTATTTACAAAAGTCTATGTAACTTTTACGAAACAGATACAGAATGATTCAGTGGCGGTAAAATTCAACAAACACTTTCATCACAATCAACCCACCCACCAAAAAGCAAATCAGCAAAACGACCATGGAGTTTGCACGCCGAGTGTCCGCTCGCTTTGAAACCAAAAGACTGCCCGAGGACGTCGACGATGGCCTGGAGACACTGGAGGAGTACAAACAGCGCTGGCGCTCCGTACGCATCATCTACTTTACCATGTTCCTGATGGCGCTGGGCTTCAGCATTATTCTCACAGGCATTTGGCCCTTCCTCAACAAGGTGTGTTTGCCAAAATACACTCCATCCACCGCCTTTTGATGCCCATTTCTCTTTAGCTAGATCCCGAAGCGGGCAAGGAGTTCATGGGCCTTATTGTGGCCGCTAATCCGCTGGGGCAAATGATCTTCAGTCCCATCTTTGGATGGTGGGGCAACAGGTTGGGTAAGATCCGCCTGCCCTTGCTTATTTCGCTGGCTCTGTTCACCCTGGCCAGTGGGATATACTCCTCGCTGGAACTGCGTCCGGATAACGTGAAGTACTGGATGCTCTCCTCTCGGTTCCTCATCGGGGTTAGCTCGGCGAATATTGCCCTGTGCCGGTCCTATTTGTCGGCTGCCACGCGAATCAGCGAACGCACCCATGCCGTTTCGATGGTGTCGCTGGCTCAGGTCCTGGGCTTCATCATCGGACCGACTCTGCAGGCGGCGGTCACTCCGCTTGGCGAACAGGGACACGTCTGGCTGTGGGGCATGATGCACTTCAACATGTACACGGCATCCGGATGGATTAATGTGGTGATGAGCATTGGGAACTTCATGATGTTCCTGCCCGGCGTGTTTGAGGTAAAGCGAAAAGTAACTTTGTTGAGGTACATTTTGTATTAAGTACGAACACGCGTTTAGGAGCATAAAATCGCAGCTCGCGAGGTGATGGTAATGCAGGGCGGCACCTCGGAGACAGAAACTTGGAAAGGCATCAAGCCGAATTATTATTCCGCCTGGACGTTGATCATCGCATTCTTTGTTCTGGTATTCAACTTTGTCTTGCTGGAAACGTAAGTATTCTCGATTTTAAGAGTTTTCCGAACAGAAATGACTTTGTTCTTCGCTCTCCAGATTGGGCACATCTCTGACGATGGACATGTTTGCTTGGTCCGACGATGAGGCGCTGTGGTACATGGGCATAATGATGACCACAGCAGCTATAGTCTCCCTGGTCACTTTTGTTTTGATTGAGCCCATGTGCAAGCTCTTTGCCGAACGCTACGTGCTCATCTGGGGCGGTTTCTCGCTGATGTTCCTCGGTCGAGTGCTCTTCGTGCCCTGGGGACCGGATCCGCCCAAACTGGCGCAGCCCTTCAATGCCAGCTTGAATCTTAGCGAAAGCGATCCCATGTATTTGGGTTGCCCGATAGCGGAGCAAAAGTGGTGCGCTGAGCTGCCGGCATTAACATTGACGCAGTTCATCATTGGTTTTGCTTTCACCTCCGTGGGCTATCCCATTGGGGTGACCCTCATCCAGACCATCTTCTCAAAGGTTCTGGGTCCCCGACCGCAGGGCGTCTGGATGGGCTGGATGACCGGTTCAGGTTGTCTATCGCGTGTCCTTGGTCCTATTTTTGTGGGATCTATCTACACACGGCTGGGCACATACTGGACCTTTGGTGTAACTTCAATTATGATGCTCGTTTCAATGTTTTGGCTTCATTGCAGCAAGTGAGTCAAAATGGGATTTGTAATGGGGGTTGCCTGAAATTAATCACAATTTCTTATATTTCCCAGTCGATTGCTAATCCCACCGACATTCGAGAAGGCACCTGCGGAACTGCAGGAACTAAACCAGTCCAATGGTGGCACATTGGACGATCACTCGCCCGAAGAGTCCGTCCGAAACGACAGGCATCACTCCGCTTCGACCAAGAACGGCAGTTATCACTCCTTAGCTCACGCGTAGTGGATTAAGTTCCTCTACCTCTAATACACTTTGTTGCTATACTGCCCCTTAAGCTAGCTTTAAAATACATGTTTATTTTTGCATATTTTCGACTGCTTATGCTTTTATTGGATATCGCAAAGTCTACTGATGAAACGATTCTCTGTGGTTGTGTTGGAAAGCACGTCGTTGTCTAGTCTTTTAGGCATAGTTTGCATATAAGGAGGATGCGCTTCGACAGGTGTTTCCATCTTCTTGTTTAAGTATACGAATTATGGTTAGTTTGGGCTTAGTAAAATACGTGTGGATTACCAAGACGGCAGCCACAATTGTGAAAATGTCGTCGGCATCAGCATGTGCTGTTGGTGTGGTTGATGGTGGTAGTAGGCCGCTGGCGACCAGCAGAGCAGCCAGCAGTCCCCAGCCCTCGTCCTCTGGTTGCTGGCTGTGTGGTATAGGGTGTGGGCCATGGGCAGGGATATGGGCAGGGTCATGGGCAGTGCAACCGCCACTCAGCTGCTGCCGTTATAGTAAAACTCATCTCAGTAGGGCGCATATCGGCGACCCGGAGGTGAGGGACCACGCATGCCGCGCGAAGAAATCATGCGCTCGTCGAATGCATCGCGGCTGAAGTCCTCGTAGCCATGAGGAGTGGGTGAGCTATGGAGGGCAATATTAAGACATAAGAAACTGATTTTACGAGGATACAACTTAATAGTTACTCTAGCATCTTATCTACTTTATATAAATTTATTTCTTAAAACAAACCATAAGAGAAGCAGGTGCTAATTTATGTAAAGAAAATTATTGTCATCTGTATATTTCACCATGTTCTTTGTTCTCGTTCTCAAGTTTCATAAAGTAAACAAAGACAAAGAAGGAACCTTCCAAGGCATTATTTGCCAATTAGAATAGATAAACTAAATATTTTGACTTTAACCAGATTAGAAAGATTGAACAAAGAAGTATTGAGTTGCCTTAATCGCAAACAGTGAGTTTTTTTAAGCCCTTACTTGCTTCATTATTATGGGTAAGGTACATAAATGGTCAGACCAATCTGAACATGCCAACCAAATCAAAATTCTTCAACTCCAAAGTATTTGTAAATAGGAAAGTCCCTTGCGTGTTGTATTGCCTAATCAAGACTAGAGTCCTAGAAATCGATTCAGCACATACCCGTAGCGACTCATTCCGTTGCTGCTGCGCGGCGGAGGCGGTGAGCGACGACTGAACATGGTGTCGTATCCACGCGAGACGCTGCAGGAACGCAGGCTGCCGCTCAGCGGGGGCGGCAGGGGCATGGGCTCGCGGCGCGAGATGGGCGGCGGCGGGAAGTCGCGCATCCGCGAGGTCTGGTAGCGACGCTCGTACAGATCGCGTGAGTCCTCGAAGCGGCGGTCATAGTAGTCATAGTCCTGCGGGAGGGAAAACAAGCGTTACATGAGTTACATGGCTGCACTCAGAGCCAGAGGGATTGAGATGGTCAATGGATGATTTGATCGGGGGCAAATGGTTGCTGAATTTACCCTAAAGCCATCCATGATGCGGTCACGCAGGAATGGCGGCGGCGGTGGTGGCGGCGGATACGGGTCACGACCGTACATGCGATCTCTGTAGCCGCCGGCGCTGAGCGGTGAGGGCGGCTCGCGTCCGCCTCCGGCACTGCCGTACAGTCGCGGACACTCTTTCGACCAATGCCCGGATCTTCCGCACCGATAGCACTGCTCCGGATCGCCCATGCCCGGCTTGGGGCGTACACGACTGGTCGACACTTGAACCTTGAGCGGCTGGCCGTCGACGACGCGACCGTTCAGCTCCTTGATGGCGTCCTGCACATCACCGACACAGTCCAGATGGACGAAACCATAGTTGCGCACAATGTCGCACTCGACGACGGTGCCGTATTTCTGAAACAATTCCCGCACCTCCGGCGCCCGCGTCTTGTCCGTCAGATTTCCCACGAAGATTTTCGTGGTCGGGGTGTTGGGCGCCCGCCGGCTTTTGGCCGCCTCCACCTTGATGGCGAACTCGTTCAACGTGTAACCGTTCAGATTCTGTATGGCATCGCGACCCTGCTGCTCCGTCTCCATGTGGACGAAGCCATAGTTCTTCACCACGTCGCACTCGACGACGGTACCGTACTTCTCGAAGAGCGCCCGCAACTCGGTGGCCTGCGTCTTCTCGTCGAGATTCCCGATGAACAACTTGAACGTGCCGGCTCCGGGCATGGCGGCAGCGGGTTCCGCAGCGTGGTCGTCCACGGTTATTTCGTTTCTAGCACTCTGGGTGGGGGAGTCCCGGAAATATGGCTATCTACGCGGCGGCGGCAACGTCGGCGGCGGCTGCGTCGGTAAAATATATATATATGGATATCGCGGTTGAGCGGCGACGGCGGCGGACAAACGCGTTACCTCAAGGGAAGAAAAGACAGGCAGGTTGTTTTCAACTATTTACGAGCAGGGGGAAACATTTATGCAGCAGTACAAGGAGCGCGATTACCAGTAATCTCTACACATTCCGGCTTTTTTTCTTTTCTTTTCTTTTGCGTTGGCCCTAACGCATACACAAAAAAAAGATGGCGGCGGTTGGAGTTCACATTTTCTCACGGTTCTCGTTGCTTTCAGTGGCGTGGCTTTCAAATGCGGTACGAATAATGCGGGGGACTTACCTGCTCTGGGGGGCTTCAAATTAAAATTTAAATGCACAGCTTTTATAGTTTTTACTTTCCAGACAAGGCCGTGCGGGTTGATTTTTCCAGATCGATTTGATTGCTATGCCGCAGTATGACCGTGTGGCCGTGTAACCAAGAGTGACCAGAGTTCGCTTGTCCCCAAATACCAACAAGCCACCGCAATGGTCATACTAACTCTGTTAAAACGATCAACATTGGAAAGAAGTCTAACAAAATTAGATCAGACAACAGCTACATTAGCAGTCAAATTTATTAAAACTAAAATATTTTACTTATTTTTCATTTGTTTACTTATACCATTATGCACCATCCACAAAATCCACAAATATATTAAGTGCACCTGGTGAAAAAAAAGAATTTAAGATAATAGTTTTATAAACAGATTGCTTCCTTTCTAAAAAGTAAAAACTTAGTTGATCTTCTAATTTTAAATAAAGTAATTTTTTTTGAAAAGCTAAATCGTTTTCAGATATAATTATCTAAATCGTTATCAGAGTATGACCGTCCCACGAGCTCAGACCAGCTGGTCATTTCGCGAAGTGTTGGTAAACGCCAGCTAAAACGACGATCGGTTTGTCCACTTCCAGCACTGTGCAGCCAAAAAAAGCGGGAGAGTCTTAATTTGGACAAAGTTAATGCGAAATAAAGGATTTGCGAGCGATCATGGAGACGCCGACGGGTAGTGGGTGCTCCACGCGTCCCGCCCGCACGGCCACCCCGCGTCTCTCGGAGCGCAAACGGCAACTGTTCGGCAGTCCGGTCTCCAGACTGCGCAAAATCAAAGACGACGACGAGGATGAGGACGTAGACAGTCTGGGAGTCTTGCCCTTGAAGCCCCATGTGGCGGCCAACAAGCAGGGCGGCAGCCTCTTCGCCGAGGGTACCAGGAAATTGAGGAGCAGCACCAGCAGCAGTCCGGAGACCAACAAGGAGAACAAGACAACCCGAGGCGGAGTTGTCGTGGCTGCCACGGCGGAGCAGCTGCCTCATTTGTTTACCACCACCATGCGGCTGAACAGCAATAGCAGCAGTAACAGTCGGAACAGCAGCCCTCGGACACCCAAGATACAAAGAAAACGGGCGGATTCATCGATGTCATCGCCCTCCTCTTGTATGGATTCTCCATCCCCACGGCGGGGGCGGGCCCATCCCAGTCCCATGCTGGAGATCAGGAGCAGCTGCAGGCGCAGTCCACGGTACTCCAATGCGCAGAAGAATCAGGAAGTGTTTTCCCCAGAATCTTCTTGCAAATCCTCAGGGAGAAGACAAAGCAAGGTCACCGCCATGAGAATGGACACGCAGAGCCCAAAATCTTCTGTTAGGTCACGAAGGAGTAGGCACAGCCAGAGTATAAAGACCACTGCCCAAGTACACAATATTAAACCCAAGAAAAAGATCGTGGCGAGTAGCAGTAAAGTAAAAGCAGTTTCCCTTTCTGAAAATTCCGATACGGAGGACGAAAACAACCCAATTAGTAAAGCCTCAATAAACATCGGAACCACAAGTCCAAATTCGACACCAAGAAGAGGGCACAATAAAACCACATCAAAGGAAACAATTAGTGACAGTCAAAATACTGCCCAGAAAATACCTATTGTTAAATCCAGAACAGAGAGCTTGGACAGCAACAGTATGATTATAATTTCTCCTACTGAAACGCCCTCTTTGGATGACGATGAAAAGCCAATTATTGAAACCTCAACAGTGAACCCTGAAAACAACACCAGAAGAACAAAATCCCCAGGTGAAGTGCCTACTTTGGATAAAGAAGAAGTGACAAAGAGCCTAGAAAGCAAGATAAGAAACTATCCAGTGAAAGGCTCCGACTCGGATGAAGAGGAACCCACTCAGAAGCCCACGAAGCGAGTACATCCAGACACTTTTTCCATCAAGACAGCATCCTCGGCAGAATCCGACTCTGGTTCGCCGCAGAGTAAGATGCGCAAGATGACGCTAAAGAGCAGCATTCCCACCATGGCCTTCTATTCCCACAGTGGAGCAGCTGCTACAAAGTCGAAGAGCACGCCCATCACATTTAAGAATTTGCTACGCCGAAAGGCAAGAAGCCCGACTTCCCGCCAACAACTGGGCATCAACAAAGGTGTCAGCCACAAAATTCGCAAGAGCCACGGATTGCCCAGAAGACTACCAGCCACCGATTTGGACAACATCCTCAACTGCCTGAGCAACGAACGGCTGAAGAACCTGATCACCACCAAGCGGGAGGAGCGCGCCAAAGTGGAGGAGGTGCATCAGATCCTGCGCAGCGCCAGGGACCCAATCAAAATGGCCAAACCATTAAGTGTGATTGAAGCCGACGATGCCAACAATAACAACAAAATGCCAGAGACCATGTGGCAAGAAACCTCCGCCGACTTCTCCGACCTCAGTGAGGATGAGGATAAGGTTCTGTTCGACGATCCCGTCATAGAATTGGAGCCCATTATACCACTGATTCGGCACGAGCCGGTCCAAAATTCGATGCCCGCTGAACCGGCGGATCTCAGCAAACGCAAGTTCTTCAAGTCGGGCCGGCGCAGCAGCACCTGCATGGAGGTGAGGATCACGGACAACATCCGAGCCAGCGTCAGCCAAGGTAGGATCGCCCTGGTCCAAACGCCACGCCGAAAGCCACGCACAGTGCGTGTCAAGTCGGCAACAACATTCTCAGCAGAGCAGGCCACCGTGGATGCAATCCTGAAGAACCTGAACGACTCGGTGATAGATGAGATTGTTGAATCAAAACCGATGGCGGTGAACACGCCCATGGCTGCGGAGGACACACCCATGGAAACGGAGCCCTTACCGGATATAATTGAGTATGCGCCGGAAACGATAGATGCGGAAATTGATCCCTTTGCTGTGTTCCGTCAGCGATTGCCCTATCAAACCGATAATCCCGATGTCGTCGAGCAGCAGCAAATCCTGCTGGAGTTTCTCATTAGCAACAACATTTGCACCGAAGAGAATTTTGAGATTTTCATAGCGAATCCGGACAACCACAAGGAGGAGGCCAATCGGATTGTAGACGACCTCTACATGGTGGTCAATAGCGAAGAGGCTGCGCAGATGGCGCAAATGGAAGCTCTGCCGGAACAAGTAGCAGACAGTCTGCCACAACAGGATCCTCCAGCAGCAGAGGATGTCCAGACCAGGCTATTCCCCATATTCACGCAGCGCCTGCAGCCCGTTGTCCAGAAATCAACGCGTCGTCGTCCGGATACATCCTCGAGATTGCTTTCGGCGGCAGCGGTGGGCTCCAATCAGTACCAGATCGATGCGGGACAAAAGGCCTTTGGAGCCCGGCAGTGCCAGCAGTGCGGACTGGTTTACACTGTTCACGAGCCGGAGGAGGAGCAGCTGCATCGCGAGTACCACAACTCCATCCATGTGCTGCGATTCAAGGGCTGGATCGACGAGGACATTGTGGCTGTTTATCCGGAGTGGGCCAGCGATGGTCGCATTATACGGATCAACGAGCGCGCTCCACCCGCCAGACTCGAGAGACTCCGGGATCTTATCGGGGTGGTGGACAAGGAACTGGGCTACTCCTCGTACATTGTGCCAAAGATCTTTGTGGCCTTCTTGGCGGTGCGCAAGCAGCAGATTGTGGGTTTCTGCCTGGTGCAGCCCCTGTCGCAGGCCCATCGGTTCATCCAAGTCGACGGCGTGGATTACTTCAGCGAGGAGAGCTACCCGGCCAGGTGAGGATCTCCTAACTTATAAAGTTTTTGCAGCAACTAAACCTTTGCCATTTCAGCTGTGGCATATCCCGGATTTGGGTCTCGCCCCTGCAGCGGCGCTCGGGGATTGCCAGCAAACTGTTGCGCGTAGTCCAGTGCCACACTTTGCTCGGCCAGGAGATCGCCAAGGAGTGCATAGCCTTCAGCACGCCCACCGACAATGGACGGGCTCTGGCGCGCCAGTTCACCGGGTTGGATAACTTCCTGACCTACGACCAGTGATCGGGGAAAACGGCTATTGAATAGCTGGATTAGTTTTGAGTTAGGATTGCTTCGGAACCTGTAATAGTTGATAAGCAAATGCGGTTACGTTACGAGTGGCAAAAAGGCGCAGCATTTCATAGTTTTACATTTTTGGCTAGAACAAGCCTGTTTTTTATGCAATAAATTTGATTTCTCACCTTTGGATCGCGTAAATTTCGAAAATATAGATAATTATTGTTTCATACATGGTTTGTTTTCTTGAAGGGGCCAGCGTTGATTGGTTCGGATGTAGACAATTTATAAATTTTATTTTTTTCTTTCTATTTATTTTAATAAATAACCCCAAAAGTATGCCATAAATATTTTTATGCACGTGCCTGTCCGATCGATAAATAGTAATCGATCGCGTGCAACCCTGCGGCAAAGCCAATAAGTGCCACCACTAACTCACTGAGCCAGGCTTTGGGCGTTGTTTTCGTAGCTGCAAAGTGGCTAAAATTGTTGTATTTTACGACTTTATAAAGTTAACACACCTGAATGGGACTTGTGCCAATTTCAGTGACCACCAATAGTGCGCAGATGGTAAGTGAAGTCAACGTTTAACCGGGAAACTCGGGATTCCGGAACCTCGCCTGAGTTTGCATTGGTGACGCCACGCCCAATGTGACAAATTGGAATTGGAATTGGTGGCAATTGGTTTCTCGGGGTGCATGCAGCAAGTAACGTGGTGGTTGAACCGCTTTCTCATTGTTCCCCCTTTTCCGTTCACAGACAATTGAGCCCTGTGCAGCAGGCTATTGACCGCTTTTCAAGTACCACACCCCTAAAAGACTATGTCCACAATCGAAGAGGAACGCAAGGCGTACGAAAAGAATCCCTACTTCACCGGCCACATCTACGGCAACTTTTCGCCGTTTTATGTGACCATTGCCATCTGCACCGTTGTCCTGGGCACGATCATCATACTGAACATTATCCTGGGCTGCTGCTCCAAGCACCGCAAGTACTGGCAGGACAGGCACACGGGCAACCGCTGGTTGGTCTCCATTTGGTCGGCCACTCCCCATAATCAGCCGCCACTGGACTTCACCGAACTGAAAGACGCCTCCTACTTTAATCGTCTACATGTAAGTGAATACGCTTTCAGAAGGTTCTCAGAAAATTTAAAATCGAAACTCTAAAAACTCTTGGAGCTACAGGCAATCGATCTGAGTTCCATTTAAACCCATGATTTTTTTTGAGCATATGTATAATATTACTTTTAAATTATATGTCTAACTTTAAAAACTCAAGTGTTTAGGAGTGTTTTTAAAAGTATATCACTAAAATGTCAACTCAATGTCTTTTACACTGTGATGAACTCATTATTTATGTTGATTCCAGCCCACCACCCATCAGCAGGTGTTCCCCGACGACGTGGTCATTGGCGTTGACGACTTGGAGCCCGTGCACTCGTCGCACCATCATCACCAGCAGCAACACCAGCGTCCACCACGCCCAGAGGGTCGCACCCTGCACCAGCAACGCCAGCGCGAGGAATACGTGGAGCTGCAGAAGCGCGAGAGCGACATCTAAGTAGGCATGGCCCTATACTTCCTTTATCCCGCCGTGGCCGCCTTGGCCTTGTTCATCGTGGGCGTGATCATTGTCATGCTGCGCTACGGACCCCGTTTGTGCGGTTTGCGGCACCATGCCCTTCCGGACGACGACGACCTGCGGGGGAAGACGTACGAGCATGAGATAAGCTATGCCTAATCTCATTCAGGGATGTCCCAGAAATCGAATCCATCCAAAAGTGCTTCAGAAACAACTTCAACTATCAGAAAATAATTTAAAAGACACCGAAAATAATGTTCAACTACAAAATGTTGTAGTTTTGCCAATTACCCTCCCAAAAATATTCTGAGATTTCTGGGACTGCCCTGATTATACTTTACATACTTCTTATACATTCCGGCAATGTTTTGAATTGCTTCTTCTATATCTCCCCAAAACTAACTCTAGCCTCTGTAAGAACCCCCACTAACCTTTCTGCACCCAACGACCATAATTATTTTGCATGCAGTACAAATAGCTTCTTTAGCCACTAGCATTGCTCGAGCCGTTTCCATTCCATTTACTACAACCAGACAATGTGCCTTCAATGTAGAGTCTCGTAAGAAAAACATACCGTCCAAGTGTCTTTTTAGTGCTAGTAAGATCGAACTGTATTTAAATTAAATGCTATTTACCCTTATTGGGTATCCTGCAGATGCAGCATTTAATGTTGTCCAATATTATATTTGTATAAAACATATCAGTGTCTTGTATTTTCAACAGTTAATGCAAACTCTATACATTTGTATTTGTCCGTTTAGTTTTCGAATATTGTCTTCTGAAATTACATGAAATAAAGCTACAATTTACGGCCCATAAACTATATACAATATAAATTGTTTACTTGAAAGGAAAATGGAAGTATTTATATGGTTGATGTTTATATATAACAGTGTTAAATATATATTTATAGTTTCAAAATTTCACAAATAATAATTTTAAATCGAAATTTGCCAAAAAACAATTGCCTTACTGACTAACCATTCTAACATAATACTAACTATTAATACGATGCATTGGATATAGGGTATAAAGTATAAGTACAAAAGTAGGTTACTTCCTTTTAGAGGGATTCTTTGGGTGCTTTCGCACATGACGCTCCGCTTGCTTGCCAGGAGCGGCCAGTTCATAGCGAAAGATAATGCAACGTCGGTCAAAGAAAGTTTTTAAATCCTTGGGATCGTAACGATGACCCATGTGCTTTAAGTATAAATATACCTCCTGCAGATCAATGGGCTCATACATGAGGACGCTCTCATGCAGTTGGGGATTTGCGCAAAGAAGATTGTGCCAGGCGATGTGAAGTGGCACCAGCGGCTGTGGAGTTTTCTTGGAAATGTTCGTTTGCGTGACAAAGATCTCAAAGTCGTCACAAAGACTCGGCGGCAGAGATTGGGAAAAACGCAGCAAATCATCTCCCCAGGCATCGTTAAATTTGAAGTCCTTTCTCGGTTCAGTTGGCGTAAGTGAGACTTCAGAAGTTGATTTGATTAGTTGGGAGCGGGGTTTCTCCATCATCACGGGAGTGGATTTAGATCGGCCCATGGGTTCATTTCTAGGTGGCAAATCCTGAACCGCAGCAGTTTGCATAATGGGATGCGTTTGATTGTAGATAAACTCTAGCATTTTCACTGCCTGCTTGCGTTTCAGGGGCTTAATGCCGTAGTTGTAAAGTTGCTGTAGAATCTCAGACTCGGAAAGAGTTGTGAAGTCTGGTTTTGGTGTGTGACAAACACGCACGGTGTACACGTTACCATCTACTTCAACTTGTTCTGGCACAACAGAAGATTCCATTTTTCGGGTACTAGTCTCTGGCATTGCAGGTGTTTTAATTTTCCCCCTTAGTAAAGTTTCCAGACCACTTGGCATGCGATCTGCTTCTGTCGCAATAGTGGCATCTTTGGCGTTTTGGAAAACTATCTGATCAAACTCATCAAAGTCGTTATCAGAACTATTTTCCGCCTGGCTTACTTTTGCCAGGAGGTCATTGAATTTGTGGCTACTCCTGCGAGCCAAAGGCTTCACTGGTGCATCCAAAAACGAAGCTTCTGCCCAGTTGATATCGATATTCGATGGCGAGTCTTTTGTGACGGGGCTCTGCAGTTGTGAAAGAGTGAAGGGCTGAGATGGAGCCGCATCTAGGATTCCAAACTCAGCACGCTCCTTGCTAAGTGCGCTATTGTTGGGGGAATGTGAACCATCGGAAGGAAAGGCCTTTAGGAATGCATCCAGATCGTCTTCAGTTTGGAACTGTGGGATAGCTCGCTTTTTAGATACAGGAGAGGCAAAGAAACTGTCTGAGCTATCGTCCTCAACATCTTCAGCCCTAGTCGTCTTATTAGCCTTCCAGATGGAGTAATTAATTTCCTCATCGGAAAGCAGAATCACATCGTTTTCGTCATCGCTGTTTTGGGTTAAGTCAAAACTTGCGTCTGAATGCTTATAAGGAGAACGTGCAGGCGATACCCTCTTCTCACCTGATAAGTTCATTTTCCAGTTAAGCGGACTTTTGAAGATGTGATCTGTTGATAAGCTAACGCTTCTTCTAATTGAGTTTCTCGAAAAGTTCAATTCGCTAAAGCTCGAACTCTGTTTTGTGTTGTTTGACGGAGTACTAATATCTAGATTAAACGATGACTGCTGAGAACTTTGAGTGTCTTCTTCAATTTTAAGGGAAATTTCTTCTTTATCCTCATTTTCTTCTGTTGTCAACAATGGGAATTTTTCCACCTTGGCGTACTTTAGGTACAATTCCTTAGAAATGGGACAGCTTTCTTCCTGACTAGCTGAATCTAAGAGCATATCGCCAATTAAATTGTCAACTTTAGAGTCGGTTTCACATGGTGCAATAAGACTTAGGATTTTCGAGTTTGGCTCATTAAAGTCTGCCATTTCAAACTGTTGAGTTAGATCAATAAAGTCATCTACTGATTTATCTGAAAAATAAAATGTAAATAAGAAATTTTTCATAAAAATTTCCGGAAATACCTACCCTCAAAAGAAATCTTCTCTTCTGTAGCGTTGGAAACAGTCTTTACTAGAAATAAATTAACATGTTTTTATCATTTAAATGAGCTTAAAAATCTATATTCTCACCTTCATCACTCGAACTGGAGAACACTTCATAGGTCGATATTTGAGTAGGTTCCTCATTGCTAGATATCATTTCCACTTCCTTCACCGGAGACGAACGTTCACTTGTACTTAAATTCTTGTAGACCTTCAAGGAAAAGTCCTTAAGATCCGTGGGTTCGTTAGAGATAGAAGTGGTGGCCATGACCGGCTCATCATCCGAATCAGCAAACAAATCAGGTGAGGTGCAACGAGTGATTTTGGTGGGAATGCTTAAGCTGGCTAGTGAGGCTGCGGGTTGGATGTTTTCCTTTTCATCTTTGGTCATTTTTGGCCGCTTATCTGGCGGTTCCTTCGAAGGACTGCTGCTTGCCGAGGATGTTTCTGTCTCCAAATTAGCACCCACTTTGGAGTGATCTTCGATCATGTTTTCGGCCACCAGCTTTTCTAGTTCATCTAGTTCCGCATTCACTTGCTGATCTAACTGCTGCTGATCTCCGAAATGCTTTTCCAACTCCTCGTAGACCAGTTCAAGTTGTTCTCTCTGTTCGCGGGTTTTCGAGGTCTCCCGCTCTGGAGATAAATCCCTTCCCTGTATTGCAGCCCAATTCTTTAGGAGATGGTCGGCAGGCGCTTGGCTAACTTCAATCAAGTCGGTCACATAGTATAAACTCAGATTTTCTATGGCACCTTCGTTTGGTTCCCGAATTATTTGAGATCCACTTTTAACTCGAAGTTTCTGAAGGTTTGCACTGATCACATTGTAAACTGGCATCGCCCTGTATTCGCTCTTTGTGCGGACTTGTTGGGCCAGCAATGCGGACACCTTCTCTTCCAGCTTCTTCTGTTGCACCTCGGGATTGCGTAAGGTAAGGGCAGTGAACTTGTTGGCCCACTTCCCGCGCCTTCCGCCCTTTCCCGCCAACACAGGCAATACCGCCAGGGATTTGTAATCTGTAAGTGGATGAGGAAAATTATTGAGTTTCTATAGCAAGCGATTACAATGCAATATCATTATTTGACATTATTTCAGCTTGTGTTATTTTAATCCTTTGTGACACTATAATTTTTTAGTTTATCGAACCATTTACGGACCGTGATGATAACTAAGCTTTATATTTGTGACCCACCTTCCTTGGCCGCAGTGCGAAAGCCGTATTTCTTCAGCTTCAGCCGTATTTTCTCCGTAGACGCCCCTTCGTCATCCACGAGGTCAATTACTGCATCGTCCTCGTCGTTCAGGCGTAGGAGTCCCTTCTTCTCAGCCTCCGACTTGGACAGCGCCAGCGCCATTTCAATGTCGTCCGGGCTAAAGTTGTCCGCCATGCAGTGTTGGGCGGTCACCTCGGCGAAAATCTGTTCGTTCCGCAGGAAGTTGCTGATACTGGGCTGCTGTTTGCTCTTCCCACGACCTCGACGGGAGCCACCCGTGGATGGGGCACTGCTTCCCTTGAGTTTGGGCGCCTTTTTTGGCTTGGGTCCTGGTTTTTCGAACACATTGCTGGTTCGTATTGGTTTGATTTTGGGCGCTGGAGGATCAGGTTCTGCAGGAACTGATGCTGGAGCTGGGGGATCCTCTCCAGCTTCCTCGGGTGTGGCAAAAAAGTTCGAAAGTGATAATGTATCAGTGGATGCTTTGGTGCTTCGCGTCGTTCTTCGGATGGAAAGGAAACCCAAGTGTTTGATTAGATAGCTACAATCATTTTATTGTTCAACAGGTAAACTTGAATTAAAATTACCGGGGCTGCAGGTTTTTGAAGTTAGCCCGCCGCGTCTTGCGATCCATTATTTAATCCTTTGCTCCTCGCTCTCCTCGATCGCCTCTTTAATGAATTTCGAAGTCCTCGGGGCCGCGAAATCAAAGAGTGCCTTTCTATCGCGCTCCTGTTCCGTTTGGGCCACCGCCTGGCACAGCTTCTCGTTGGCAATACGTTGTATGGGGGTCAGACTGGAAGGGATTTCCCATTAAAACCCTATTTATCAGATAATTGCATTAAATAATCACCTCCAAATTGCGAACACGGCCGTTCCGGCGACCAACAGGGCATAGGCGAATCGATTGCGGTACGTATAGGATGGTGTGCCGTGGGTGCGTCTGGGCTTACGCTTGGTGGCATCAATGGGATCCATCGCTGCAAAGGCCGCTGAATTATATAATTAAATACATTTTACCCGGTAAAAATCAGGAAAACATGCTTCAACTCGGCGTTGTTGGGCCAGGGTTGCCAGGCATTGCCAAAGAACATCAAAACAAGTTGAAATGCTACACATTGAGGGTAGTTCACCTAAGCACCTAAATTATAAATACTTATGTTAAAGACATTCCATGGTTCTTTACAAAAAATTTTAAATTGAATGTAGTTTGAAGTTATTATATTTATTCACGTGTTTTATTTTTACCTTTTTAATTTTATATAAGATTTTAAAAACTCTAGAGCTTAGCAATACAAAATTGAAAAGAATACCCCAATTATTATTAAACTATCGTGGACCATCTGTTTGCTTGCACCTGCAGCCGAGTCGACAGCCCTGTACGCAAGCGAGTTGGCAGTCCTGCCAATGTATATGCGTAATTAACGCTAATTAGGCAGAGAAAACAATTTAGTTTCATTTGAGCTGCAATAAAGTGCGGGTGCACACGTCACTGGGTATTTGCATAATAGCAAAGCGATTTTCAGCTGTAAGTGGAGTGTGAAAACTGATAGCCGATGAACCCAGACAAACAACTACAACAAGTGTAACCCACACAGGCAACAACAACAACTATCAATAGACAAAGGGTACTAGTGCGAGTATAGTAAACAAATACAAAAAAGCAGCGAGATAAGCGAAGACAAAGCAGAAGAGTTCAACTCGTTCGTTCGTATAAATTGATACAATCATTTGCAGAAACGGCAAAAAAGCAAAAAAACAAGTGCAGCAGGAAAAAAGAAGGCCGATTAATCATATCGTTTTGAATACGATACGCCCATTCTGCGGAACATAGTTCCAGTCACTGGTCAGTACGGATTGAGCCAGCAGAGATGGCGCGCGAGGACGAGGAACGTATCGTGGACAATGAGGAGATGTCGCACCCGACGGAGGAGGACGCAGTGGCCACCGCTCCGGGCGGTCGGCGGGACAATGAGTTGAGCCTGCCCTCCGGCGGCTGCTGCAATCCCGCGAGCAGGGGTCACCGGTTCATGGCGCTGGTGTTCATGTGCCTGCTGGGATTCGGATCCTACTTCTGTTACGACAACCCCGGCGCCCTGCAGAACGTCTTCAAGCGGGACCTACACCTGAGCTCCACCCAGTTCACGCTCATCTACTCCATTTACTCGTGGCCCAATGTAGTCCTTTGCTTCGTTGGCGGATTCCTGATTGACCGGCTGTTCGGCATCCGACTGGGCACCATTATCTACATGCTGGTCCTGCTGGTGGGCCAGCTAATCTTCGCCTGCGGCGGCATTTTGGATGCCTTCTGGATGATGATCCTAGGACGCTTTATCTTCGGCATTGGAGCCGAGTCACTGGCCGTGGCCCAGAACAGCTATGCGGTGCTTTGGTTCAAGGGCAAGGAACTGAACATGGTCTTCGGCCTGCAGCTGTCGGTGGCCCGTTTCGGCAGTACCGTCAACTTCTGGGTGATGCAGCCCATTTACGACTATGTCAGCAAGTTCTACCAGGGACACCGTGCTCTGGGCGTCGTCCTGCTGCTGGCCACGCTCACCTGTGTGATGTCCATGATCTGCGCCCTCGTCCTCGGCTGGATGGACAAGCGGGCCGAGCGGGTTTTGCAGCGAAACACCAACCCGGCTGGACAGGTTCCCAAGCTTACGGACGTCTTCACGTTTAAGCCGCCCTTTTGGATGGTGTCCATCATTTGCGTGGCCTACTACGTGGCCATCTTTCCGTTCATTGCCCTGGGACAGAACTTCTTCGTCGATCGCTTCCATTATACGCCGGCGGAGGCCAACACCGTGGACTCTCTGGTCTACCTAATTGCAGCGGTATCGTCTCCTGTCTTCGGATTCCTCATCGACAAGGTGGGCAAGAACGTGACCTGGGTGTTCACTGCGACGCTGACTACTATTGCAGCTCATGCTCTGCTCACATTCACCCAGCTGACACCCTACGTGGGCATGACCGTCATGGGACTGTCGTACTCCATGCTGGCTGCCAGTTTGTGGCCCCTGGTGGCCCTCATCATTCCGGAATATCAGCTGGGCACAGCCTACGGCTTCTGCCAGTCAATCCAGAACCTCGGTCTGGCCGTCATTACCATCCTGGCTGGAATCATTGTGGATCACAGCGGCGGCGAGCACATGTGGCTGCAGCTGTTCTTCATGGGCTGGCTGACAATTGCCCTGATCGCCACCGGAGTCATCTGGGCGTATAACACCAAGCACCGCGGTAATCTCAACATGACGCCAGCGCAGCGGGCGCAGTTCGTCAGCGCCGAACTTTATCAGAACTTTGAATAGAAGGGGAATACAAAGGAGAAAGGCACCCGCAGATCGCATTATTATCGTTTATTTAGAGTAGACATAAAGTTTCCTCTGCGGGCAATGCGCCAAGATCTTGTTCCACGATGTGATGATGATGTGTGATGTGCGTCTCGGGCCGCAAATTGGTATTTACTAACTGCAATTGTTTGTCAACTGAGGACGGGGAAAACACAATACGCCCTGATCAGCCGTGAATCAGTATTGATATGTCAAATGCGCTATCTGCGATTCGATCCCGATCAGGCCGGTTTATATGCTATTTTATATTTTTAGAGAAATTTATTATTACAATTACCGCATGTTTTTGTGTCAACGTTTTACAAATTAAACTAAACATGTAATCCTAAAACCAAGAAAATGTTTAATAATAACCATAATTCGTTGACGATTGTGTGCGCACAGGGCGAAAATTCGGTATATATTATGTAAATATGTATTTTACTTGAACTTGTATCTCATTCATACAACTTGGCCGTTACTAGCATTTTCATTATCAATATTACAAATTAGTTAATTCTCCGTCTTGATTACCTAGTAAATAAACATACATGCCTTACTTGCAAATAAAATACTGTAAAATACTTCAAAACATATTTTTACTTTCAAAACTTAATAAAGACCTAAAACATAAGGGAAAATATAGATATTTTTTAATAAACTTTCAGTTCAATTGGTAATAATTTTATTTCGCAAAAAGCCGGCGTATAAACGTTGTGTATATTTGCAAAAATGCCTAAGGCCCAATAAAAATCCAGGATTTCCAGGTAAAACAAAATATTTATCTACGTTGCAGTTATTCATTACTTAAAACATCTTTATGTCCGTCCTCCGCTCCAGAACCTCAATGCACTGTTTGCTGTCCAGGCTGAGCACATGGAGTTCCCGCAGAGGTTTCGATTTCTCCTCTGCCGACTGGTTACTGCGCAGCGTTTCCAGCAGTAACAAAGCCGTTCCCCGTGCCGCCGTCAGCAGCTTGCTGGCATCGTGTATTCTGGCGAATCGAATCGAATGTGAAAGGTGTCAGATTTATGTTTATTGTGCAGTATATCATATTTCGGGATGACTCACCTCTTAAAGAGCAGCTCCGGACGACGCGTATACTGTCCAAAGAGAGCGAACAAATTCCGCGTCATGTCGTAATTGAATTGCGCTGCCCCCGCAGGTGCGAACTTCGTGTTCATGACCATGCTCTCGAGCATGAAGTCATCGATTTGATGGGCTATTAAGCGCAGCGTCTGGTTGAACAGATTGGCGGAGAGTTCACGCTCCAGATTGTGGAGCAGGGTGACCAGCACCTGGAACATTTCGCCACCGCTGGGCGAGAGGATGAACGGCTCCCGGCTGTTCTGCTCCGGCATTGTGGGCCAGGCGTCATGGCGATAGCTCATCGATTTCGCCTTCATCTCGTTGGTGGCCTTGGTGGCCAGATTCCGCATAAGTTGCCTGGCCCAGTGCTCCATCTCAGCGACGGCATGCTCGAACACCGAGTTAATCTCCGGTGCATTTGGACCGGCTAGTGCCGCATGCAGGTGCAGATAGTGCACGTTTTCGCCCCATTCCCGCAGCACCATCACCAGGTAGTTGATGGCGTTCAGAACGGGAATGCTCGGCACGGCTCCACTGCTGTGTAGCTGCACCAGACGTCGTCGGAAGCTATCGATCAGTTCCAGCTGGAGTTGCAAGAACTGCAGCTGGTGACCGGGCTGAATTAGTCCGTAGTAGCGATCCTTAATGGCGTCCAGCAGTCGCATAAACTGATCCGCACATCTGGGAATCTTTAAATCATCCTCAAAGGTGTTGGGATCAATTAGCTGGAACGGCGACTCCGCCTGCAGAATGTCATCCATTTTTTCCGCACAAACTGAGTAAAGATTACATTATTAAATTAGAGCAATGGAGGACAGCGACCTTATCTCACATCGTTCTTCCAGTGAAATCCAGCGAAGCAAATACATGGGCTGTGTGATTACGGAGATGGCGCTGGGAAAACTCGCCGGATAGCCAAAAGTCTCTCGCAGTTCAGACTCAAAGGCCAATGTTTCATCGAGCAGATGGGCAAAAAGGATTTCGTCCTGGGCAATCTGCTCTATGTCCACCGCTAGCTTCTCAATGGTTAGCTGCACCAGTCCTCGCATGAACTCCAGCTGGCGGGAATAATAGTTTGGATCTTATAGGACCTAGCATGCCATAAAAAATACCCACCCTGAGATTGTAGTCCAGTTTGCCTGCCTTAATGGCCGCTGGCTGGAATGTTTTGCCCACAAAGAAGTGCGTCTCCTTGCCCCAGTTGAGAATCTGCGTGTAGAACCACTCGGGCTTGTCCAATCGGTTCGTTTGTCTGGCGCCTGTGAAGTGAAATGTGAAACGCTGGCGATAGGGCGCCAACAGGAGCTGCACCACCTGGTTGATGGGCTGGCACACGATGCTGGGCGTGATGCTTAGCAGCGGTGCATGCTCTTCGGCTGGGGATTTGATGAGGAACATGTATTCGGCTAGTAGCTGGGCCTTGGCAGTGTCCCGAGCGGGGGAGTAGTTGAGGGCCTGCTGCTCCAGATGCGCCCAGCGCATGCTCTTCAGCACGGCCTCAAATTCGCTGGACAGGCGCTTGAGAAGCAACTTGTGCCAGTAAGTGGCAGTGCGTTCGGCAAAGGACTTCAGGGACTGGGCCTGCACGGCCTGCAGGCGTCCCACCACGCTGTGCTCGCAGTCGTTACCCTCGTACAGGGTTAAGTAGATATTGACCAACTTGGCCTCGTCCTTGCCATTGATGGCACTGCCCAGGGCGGCGCTGATCTCCTGAATGTCCTGGACCAGGCGCAGATACTGCGTCAAACGCTGCAGCTGCCGTACTTGCGCCAAATCCTCGGCCACGCCCTCTAAGGCGGGCTGGCACTCCTTTAGCTTCTTTTTCAGCTTGGCGCCGAACTGGGCCAGCTTCTCCAGCTCAAAGTCTATGCTCTCGCAGACCTGTTGCTGGCACTGGAAGGCGGATTTGTAGCAGGACACGTTCTGGGCATCCTCGAAGTCAAGCTGGTTGATTGGGACGGTTAAAAAGCATGTTTTTTCTATATAGTTCTTGACCGTACCGTTTGGGACAAGACTTGGAGGCGCTCCTTGTAGTGGCTTACAAGGTGACTGGCCCGATGCAGCCGGCTGGCATCCTTTCCGATCTCCGCGTTGAGTCGCGCCACTATGCGCAACTCCATTTCGCTCAGCTTCGCATGCATATTGCCGCAGAAATTGCTAAAACAACATTTAATTATAAGCTAAAGGGGCCACGGAACCACGTATAAAAATAAATAATTGTGCCAGTGTGACCATGGCGCAAATGCATGAAAATCGCAGTTTCTAGGTCCTATAGTTTCGCGGGCAGAAAATTTTCAAATTTTATTAGTTATATTAGTTTTTAACGACTGAGTCTTTGACCCAGAATAGAGAATTCATCAAATAGTTTTTTAGCTTAATATCGTTGGATAATAATATTAACAATACCATAAAAAGAACTATATATTATTCCTTACTCCTGAAACTCCTCTCGCAGATATGGTCACACACACCTCTGCTTGTCGATGCGGTCACACACAAGCTGCTGGTGAGCTACGGTCACACTGTGAAAGCGGGCATTGTTTAAATGGACAGGTGTGGCGTCGTTTTTTGTTTCAGTTTTTTCTAACAGAATTTTAGTTGGAAGATGTTTACGCCCAGGCAGAAAGGATTCGGGAATGGCTTCATCCCTTCGCCCCAAACACCTCTGAGTTTCAGCCGGGAGCTGCGGCAAGTGCTGCAGGAGAGGAATCTCCTGACCGCCAAGTCGCGCAGGAAAGGTGAGCAAACTAAGAAGGCGTCGCCAGGTGTTTCTGTTCTAATGTGACTTTTCATGCTCAGTTTGCTCCATGCTGGACAGCAACAGCAGCAGTCCCATTGGATCACCCAATCCCGAGTCCGGAAAACGATTGGGATTCCGGCGGCAAGCCATCCAGGAGATAATCTCTTCGGAAAAGTCATATTTGGATCAGTTGGAGCTGCTGATGAACTTCTTTGTGCGTCCCCTAAAGGAACAGGCCATCATCGATTGCTCCAATCACACGCTGCTTTTCGGCCAGATCGAGATGATCCACAATTTGAATGGGGAATTCCTGCGGGAACTGGAGGCGAACATGGAAAATGTGGCGCATGCCTTCCTCAAGATGGCTCCCTTCTTTAAGCTGTACTCGGTGTATGCCTTCGACTATCGCGGAGCCCTGTTCATCATTCAGGATTTGATCAGCAAGAATCCGGTGTTCAGAAAGTTTCTGGAGCAGACCGAGAGTCGTCCGGAGGTGCAGCGTAAGCTGAACTCACTGATGATCGTGCCCATTCAGCGGGTTCCCAGGTATAAGCTACTCTTGGAGCAAGTACTACTCTACACAAGTCCCGCAGATGCAGATTACAAGTTACTGAAGGGTAAGTTCTAAGAAATTAGCTCTCTCTGTCATCCAATTGATCAGCAAATGCTTTTAGAGTCCGTCAAGGAGATCGAGGCCACTGCCAGTCACATAAACACCTGTGTGGAGGAGCAGGAAATTACCCAGTATCTGATCCACTTGCAAAATTCACTGGTAAATCGTACTCCAAACATTGTGAAGCCTTCGCGACGGGTCATCAAGGAGGGCATTCTCCAGAAGATCACCCACAAGGGCACGGAAATCAAGCGCTACTGCGTGCTCATGTCGGACATATTCATGTACTGCAAGATGGTCAAGGAACGGGCGCCCAATACCGTGGTGGAAAACTCTTTGGAGTGCTGCTGTATTTTCCCTTTGAAGAAATGCAAAGTGTACGAAATGCTGCCGGGCAACTTTAAGCTCACTTGCCAGAGCGATGGTATCATCTTTGGCAGCGGCGATGTGCAACTATCGCGCACTTGGGTGGGCTTCATCCGCGATGCCATAGATCTGCACGTACAGTGCCGCAAAACTCTGCGAAAGGATTCGAGCAAGAGGACGCCCATACGCAAAAAGGATATGAAAAAGTTCGGAGCCGATTATGTACTGAGTCCCAACAAGCGCAAAAGCGTGAGTAGCTATAAAAGACTATTGATAAGATAAAAGTTCAATGTCGTTCATGTATTACAGGACTATGAGACTGTTTTTCGCAACAAGAATCGCAGCACAGATTCGGAGGAGGAGAACGAGGAAAGTGCCTGCTTTCCGCGCAAGCGAAAGGTACCCAGTGGTGTCTTAAAAACTACAAATTCAAATCTTCGGGGAATGGCATCCTCCTCAATGTCGATGAAACCACCAGCTCCACCACCTCCTCCTCCCTTTTCTCTTCCTTCGAACGCAGTGCAAATGCGCCATCAGTCGGTTAGACCAGGAGAGTCGGGCTGCAAGGAGAATCGCATCTCCAAATTGTACAAAAGGATTGCCACCGGTGACAAGGTGGCCAATGTACGGGGCATCCTCAAGCGTAGCGATGTGCCGGTGCCCAGCAATGACCACGATCCCAGTTATGGGTTCGCCAGTCGCTACTCGGACTCCAAGTCTTATTTTAGAGCTCACAACGTGGACAACACCATTCCCACGTTTGTGAAGCGCGAGGATCTGTTCAACGGGGAGAACATGTTTCCCGTACATTTGAGGAGCCAGGAGGAAATATGCTCACCGCCGCAAAAGAAGCGAGTCAAGTTCGACGACACCTTGGATGCAGTGTCTCCGGTCCTGGACCAGAAACCCTTTGCATTCTCAAACGATGCGGTTGTCACACAAAAACCCGTTTCATTACGTGAGCGAATTTATGATTTCTTTGCCAATCTATTCTAGAACTAGATGACTTCAAACTTAATCATATATACATTTATTTATCGATCACCACATTAATATCAATAAAATCATTTACAATTCGAATTATTTGGATTGCCGTAGCTGGCAGATCTTTTGCATGAAATCGTCGACAGCTTCTTCACTAATCTCCTCTAGCCAGCTGCCATTACGCTTAAAATGCGAGCCAATTATGACTGCCTGGGCATCCTTGTAATAACTGCCAATGTTGTTTTTGGTTACCCCGGAGCCAATGATCAGTGGAACCTTTACCTTGCCGGATAACTGCTGCAGATCTTCGGGACTGGCTGCATGACCTGTTGCCGTTCCCGTGATTATAATGCCATCGGTCAGGAAGAACTCTGCCGCATTAGCGGTTTCCAACAGACTGACATCGGCGGTTATGGCATGTGAGCTGTGTTTCTTCTTCATATCGGTGAAGATCAGCACGTCCTCCGCATCGATGAGCTTGCGGTATCTTAGCAAATCCCCAGCGCAGGCATCCGTGTAACCCTCATCCGCCACGTGACCGAAAACGAATCCCTCACTGCGGATGAACTGCAGATTGGACGCTTTGGCAATGGCCAGGGCTTGTTTGTTGCCGCAGGCCAGGACCTGGACTCCACATGGAGTGTCCTGCGGCATTACATCGCGCACTGCCTGTCCCACTCGGGTCATGCAAGCCACTATCTCGGCACCCAGGAGCCGCTCTGGGACATAGGGTATATCGTGCATATTCTCTATGAGCACGGCATCCTGTAAAGGATATTTTAAAAATTTATACAGAAAAGAATGTATCTTAACCCTACCAGTTGGTGTTTCTTGTACAGATTCGCCTCATAGATGGCCTTCTCAACAGTCTGCTTCCAGTTGCCGGTGTATCGTGGTGTTCCTGGTGTTGTGTTTCTGGATTAAGATCAATGGGTTTTTACTTTTAGGAGCTTCTCTTACCTGGCAGTGCATCCACGTGTATCATGCCGATCACTTTGCATTTTTGCTGATTGAATACCTTCAGGAATCGTTTCATATTTAAATTTTATAAGCAGATGGTGAGGAAAACAATGTTATTTGCCGGTAAACAGCTGATAAACGTACCAGGGATGGAGTGATCTTTGTTTATGTTTTATTAACCAAAAATAAAATCTTTTTATTCTTAAAAATATAGGTTTTCTAACTTAAAAGGGAATTCAGAATTCAAATTAATTTACAATTATGATTGACAAAATTATAGGGCCTTGTGAATAAACATAAAATTAAATATTTAATTCAATTACGATCGTTAGAGGTTAAGCCAATAACTTAGTACCATGTCGGATTTGTCAAAAGTGATGAATTGTACATTTTCGTGATTTTGTTTTTTAATTTTTTTTCTTAATTAAATTTTGCAAAATATTCAAATAAAACACAAGTCGTCTCCTTGGTTGAACGTTTTAAATCTCACTCTTGAAGCCAAGAAAATATGCCTTCAACCATAAGTAAATGTATAGGCCTGGCATTTGAAACAAAGACCTCGCGAAATAACACTTTAAATAAATGGAGAGTGCAAACGAAAACAATTATGACACTTTGGCGGAACAATAGGGGCCGCTATCGGCAGCATGGAAACAGGAATAGGACTGAAAATAGCCGGGGAAATAGGAACTGGGGAAATCCGCCGACAAAGTCGCCGAACGAAGGGCTTCCCATTTGGGCTGTTCACAGCTTCTGTTGTTCCTGTCGCCACTCAATTACATTGTTTTAGGAGCGAGGCGCCCGTTGTCCTCGAGTTTGATTTGGTCGGGCTGGTGTTGTATGGGTATGGTATGGTATGGGTTATATAGGATGTGGGGATGGGGATGAAATAAGCTTGTGCCCACGTCTTACTGCCAATGCTTAGCGGAAACGGTGTCGTTCGTTTGCTGCGCGCGACAGAATTTCAATTATCACAGCGTGCTATTCTCCCTTCGGTCTCACCTTCGATTTCCATGCCCCTCAGCCCACCACACTCCGCCCACAACCCACCGCCCACTTTTATTCGCCATTTGTTTGTTTGTTCGGCATTGTTTTCCTTCGTTGCGATGTGTGTGCAAGTCCTTTGTGCAAGTAACAATTGCGCTTTGTCCTGTTTACAATATGTAAAAATGGATTGTTGTAATGGACTCCTCCCCTGCGGGTCCATTTGATCGAGTTCCTGTGTTTGCCCCATAAAAATGTGCAATCTAATTGAGTTTTGTTTAGTAATTGATTAGTTAGCAAGGTCAAAAACACTACAACACTGGGAAAAATTAAGCTCCCCAAACTTAGGAAGTACATAAGTCCAAGTTTAAATGGTCGAAATTAAAATTATTAATTAAACTTTATTTTTAGTTGTAATGCCAGACCAGAAGAAATCTAAAATAGTGATCCCTAAATAATGAAAATGAATCTCCGAGAAGTTGTTAACATCGAATTTCTTTTTCGAATTTTAGCTCGTTTCACTGCTTCCCAAAGGACCTGTGCAAATATCACAGGCAGAGTGGAAACTCTTTACCTGTTCGGCAAACAGTATAAATAATTTATAATCTGAGCCGAGCGTCCTTTCGCACTTCCAGCCCACATCCGGCCGCAACTCAAATTCCCCATTCCGCATTCCGCTTTCCTCATTCCCTATTCCTCGTTTGCAGGACCTGTGTCCTCTGGTGTCGACTCACATGTACATATGTACCCACTTTGTTCTGCTTGTAGTTGCAACAAGTTGTTTCCGTGTTTGCCTTTGGCCCCCGCCCTTGATTATGCGAGCTGCAAACAACCTTCGGCCGTGCGTTTGTCTGTGCCGCACGGCGGTGGTAAACAGAAAACATAATGTGCAGGATATCCTACCTGCAAGTCCCTCATCAGGACCCCTTTTTTTCTAATTAGCTGGCAGAACTGAGTTTAGAGTAAATGCACTAAAAGAAAAATGTAGAAATTTACTAAAATACAAAGATCAAACAAATTGATTAGTAACAAGCATTAATAGTTTCATTCTTAGGCCTTATATAAATTAGCTTTAATTAAAATTCCTTTAAATGCTTTTGCTGCCTTTGTAATTAGAAAATATATTTTGTTTTATTAAAACAACTTTAACTCAAGTAGAACTACAACATATTTAAAAACTACAATTTCAGCTAGCAATACTCCATTTCAACAAGGTTTTTACCATTTTGTTCATAGTTTTACATCCGTGCAGAATTTAAAAAAAAACTTTCAATGCTGACGAAGCCAAAGAACCAATTACTGGCCAACTGATGAAAGTTGGTCAAAAGGGAAAGCTTCTCGAGTTCGCACTAATTAAGCTGGCTGCAAGAGCATAAAATATTATATGTTTTGCAATAACAAAAGGCTATCCAAAAGTCAAAAACAAGCAGTTGATAGCCATATGAACATGGCCAAAACAATTCAATTATTTGGAAGCAGGCAGCAGGGTAAACTTTTTATAGCCTCTAATTGGAAAGTTGCCGTCACACAGGAGTCATCCGCAGAAGAAGATTTGGGCGACAGGTGAGGCAGGCAGACTCACCGCACAAACTTGCCGACATTCATTTGACAGCAGACAGTCGTTGGGGAACAGTTCTCGTGACGAAAACGAAAACTAAATCGGTGCGCCTCAAAAAACTCAGCTCGAATGTCAGCCAAACGGGTTTTCCATTAATCCCGCGTAAATTACATTTTCACACCTAATACCGCTCACCTGTTTATCATTGTCGAATCAGCGGCGGCCATTTTATAAATTAGCATTTCAAATGTTATCGCCCATTCTGCAGCGTTGATTTGCCATTACTCATGCGCTCCGTTGTCCCATGGAAAATGCCAAGGCCGACGCGTGAGAGAATTTGATAAATTCGCCATTTTATTTGGCATTTGAGCGTTTTCATTAGCCAGTGTAAATGCAATTAGTCAATAAATTGAGTGAATATTACCAATTTTCATGCGAGCGAAGGGCAAGGACACCGGCGAGTCTGAAAATGTGCGTGCAGCGACTATCGGTGGTCATAATTCCTGGCGGCCACCACATCAACGCATCGATCATCATTGGACACGGGAGTGGGTAATAGACGGAACACGCAACCAGGCCAACGCGCCGCTGCAAATTGGTAAATGAGCGAAAACATTGCCGAAATGTGAACACGGAGGGCGGCATGTAAGCTGCCAAACCTGCGAATCGATGGTCCACAGTGTGTGGTTGAGACAGGTGGGCAGTTTCCCCATCGGGCAAAATAAATTCACCAGCACAGCGAGATAGCAAGTTAAGTTTTGCCCTTAAAAGAGCAGATTTATTTGTTATTTTACATTTTGGCTCTTTCAGCTTTCAGACAACAAACTATGGGAGAAAATGTTTTTAAAAATACATTTGGTCTTTTTATTTCCAGGAACTTGTAATGGAAACTACTATATTTAATATCTTAATTTAAAATTTATTTTTTTTTTAATTTGTCTGCAGCTATTTTCTTCATAAATCTTTACCTTTTAAGGGTATACCTTCAAAAACCGCAATGTCTTGAGCCACAACATAACAATATTTTACCAAACGGCGACTTAAAATTGCACCTGCAAAGTATAACCAGCTTTATGGCTCTTTCCATAATGAGCAGTGGTAAATTTTAACCATTTCTCAGCGGTTTGTGTTGGTGCGTCGGTACTTCATTTAATGTCGTCTGCTTTACAGCCTTGGCAATATTCCACTAAATGATTTAGGTGACAAAACTTTGCAGACAACGGGGAGCACCAAACAAAAAAGAGACAAGAGAAATTCAACTTTTTGGCAATAAAAATATAAATATGCCACACCAAGAAAATGGTCTGAAAATTGGGACTAGGCGCATAAAGTGAATTTGCAAGCGCTGCATGAACAATTAAAGGCGTACAACACGCATACGCCACGTGTGCAAAATTTGTTGCACCTGCCTGGGGAGAAATAAATTACTCAATTTACCGTTTTGGCTGACAGGCTGGCAGACAGGCCAGCAAATAAAGCCATAATACTGACGTCGAATTTTCAAGAGAACTTTAATTAAACGAAGCCACAGAGCGACGTTTTCGTGACCTCAGGTGGCAAATACATTCGATGGCGCACCCTGCCGTTCGCACATCCAGTGGTTGACCAAGAAAAAGCGAGCCCCAAAGCAGACAGATGGATTCGGGGAGTGGCCACTGGCCCAGACATGGCTCGGTGGACTTTGGCCGACTATCGCCTCGCTTTATCTTGGCCAGCTAAAAATTGTCGCAACGTGTGGCGCGCACCTTGAACTGCCCGCAAATGTATGCTATGCTTTTTCATTTCGCTTATATTTATTTGTTTTTTCTTCGAAGGAGATGGTCTCGTGAGTGTGCTTAAGCCAATGACTAGAGATTATATCTGATAGGACCAGACCCTGAAAGCCACAACCTTTTGCTGCTAGCTAGCTTACAATTTTTTCTAAAACTTTTGCATTTTACCCTAGATTTCTGGGAAAAAACAAGGTAATCTTAGTTTGCCATTTGATCGTGACGTTTTGCTCATCCTTGACTTTCGACTTAGTTCTCTGCGTGTCCGTTGGCTTTTTAGCCGCCCTCTTAAGATAACCGGCTGGCCATCAGTGCAAAGGCATAATTAGTGAAAGTGATTTGTATCGGTTGACTTGGTCGGTCTAAAAATAAGTGGCATTTCAAGCGCACTTTGGCATTTTCCTGACCATTTAATTTGCATTCCATCCCCTTCAATCCGTACTCCTTTTATTACGTCTTAAGCCGCAGTGGGTACCGGCTTATCTAGGGCTTAAAATGCAGCTCGGGGTTGGGTCTGTAGCGCACCTGGCTTTGTGTCCTTGCCAGCAGCAGCCTAATGAAGCTGGGCGGGTGCATTCCGCAGAAATCATCGGCATTCTATTCGAGGGACTAGGGTATTTAGCATAAATATTTTGATTTTTAATTTGTATTTTCTTGTGGTTCAGGCTCAAAAGCTTAAACAGTTCCAGCAACTTTGAATTTAAATCAGCAAAAGCCATTTTATTATATGTATTTCCTCCTAAACCAGTAATGCAATATTTTATACTGAACTAATTAATTATTTTTGTTTAATCTCTACTAGTTTGTAGAACAAAAGAGATA